ATCAGTTTTGGAAACGAAGATTTTTCAATAGACAACTTGGATCCCCTGAAGAAGAATTAAAAAAAACATATTCATCCATAAACAAAAGTATAGGCAAAAGTTTAGATAATAACAATCCTCGTCTTAGTTCACATAATTTAGTATAAATAAATGCAATATTTTTCGGTAAAATATTATGAATTAATTATAAAAAAATAATTTTAAGTGTTATGTGAGCTGAAATGATGATTTTTTTAAAGTGTGTGTTGCCATGTTGGTTACAAAGGTATTTGCTGAATCCGTGATAGTAGATAATATTAATATTGTATATCTAACTAAATAAACTTTTATATATCCTTTAGCTTTTATAAGAATCTCGAAATTTTAGCAAGTAATGTGACGAAACATTACTCATATTTTTTATTATATTATTATATTGGTAATATGTTTTTAAAATTTATGCTCAATGTCATTCTAAAGTGCCTTTATATATCAAAAAATAATCATTTAAAAAAAAACTAAAAATATTCATTAAAGCGTTTTTTTTGGGTAGATGTTTTTTTTATTAATTATGCGTTTGAAAGTCGCCTCAGATTATTCTGTGATAATTCTTTTCATGTTGAGGGACTTCAAATTAAAATTTATACATCGTGTATCAAAAACGACTGATATGCATTATGTTTAATCAAGAAAAAAAAATTAAATTAACATTTTATAAATTTTATATGAATGGCATTGAAGCTTAGGGTCATCACATTCCATGAACTTTTATAATAACGATTATTACTGTGGGTTTCAACTGACGTGACATTTGTATTGAAATACAGTTGTCTTTCTTCTTCTCTTTGAAAAAAACAGAGACAACAATAGGTGGCAATACAATTATCACGTCGGTGGAATATTACGGTTACTCTTCTAATTTGTAAGGAAAAAAATAAAATGTGTATATTATTGCTCGTAATAAACTGTTGTATTGCTGTCTCATTAGTGGAAATTATTTTAAGGTATTGTGTACACTAATGTTACTCATAAGGCCAAAAGATATACATAACTGTGTATTTGGATAAATAAATTTAGTGTTTATAGCTTGATATTTTATTTACACACCTCATTTATAAGTTAAAAGCTCATTCATAAAGCACGTCAAATCAAAATAAAACGTAAAAAAGAACAAGGTTACTACTGGGTCGATAGAAATCATTCATATTAGTAGGCAAAAATATAAGCAGTTGAAATACAACAAAAAATATGATTATGGAAATAAACTGATGTTGCGATTGCATAAAATTCATTTCATAACATCTTAAATGTTGTCTTTTCTCCTTTTTTTCAGCAAAGTTTCTCTTCAAATAGCCAAAAAATCATATAATAAATGTACTGTTTAAACTGATTTTTCATGTACTGGCAATACCATTTCGCTAACTTCAAAATCATTATTGATTTTGACAGTTGACAGCAATTGACAATTCGCTTTGTTATTGGACGACAACTATATTTTTGCCGCTTTTCTATATAGAAAACAAATAATGTCTCGTTACTTCATGATCTAATTATTTATACAATCTACGAACCGTTACAGTATTACTTATTTATATAAAACTTTTAACTATGGTGGATCTAAGTGGGGGCCAAGACGGGCCCTTGGAGCATGCATTTTCTAACTCCGTTTTTATTATCCCAGGAATAGTCGTAACCAGTCTAACAGGTAAGAAATCCTGTAGTATTATTTATGTCTAAACTGCACTGAAGAAAATACATTGGCGATACCAATATTAATTCAAACGTTAAACTACGACTTATTGTAAACACGATGTCTACCCACTGAACTATCGCCGCTTTTGATAACGTTAGATTAATGTAAGATATGGATACTTAGTGGATAAGCCATTATCAACATTTTAAAAAGTCAAAATTATTAATTTTGTAATGCAGTGTTTCTCAAAGTGCGCTCTGCGAGGCCGTCATAATTTTAGAGCGTCCACGAATATAGGTACACATTTTAACTAAAAATTTTAAAAGGGTATAAAGTTTTAGAGAAAAACCCATCAAAAGTTGAATAGTACACATCTAACAATATTTTGTATGCCAACTGGTCAAGGGAAGAAAATAATTACAAATTCTAGGGCCTATAATAATCACACATAAAACTACAGGTACTGTCAAATACTCCACTTCCCAAAACTGTTCCGTAGTGAACAAAGTTTGAGAACCGCTGCTGTATTGATGTACTTTTGAATTGACTAAAATGTCATACTGAATTTCAATGGCCAAACATATATACATAATTGTTATTTGTTATTGTTATGGTTTTCTTTGGAGAAAACACACTCAGTTTTAACATAGATCTTACACCATCAAGTGGGTATATATGTTTTTAAAACTATATTAAATAAGACTTTAACTTAAATTTTACATAGTAACTATTGACTAATATAATTATCAAAATGTCCAAATTAAACAATGATATTACATGTATGCACAACTGTAAAAAAAACAATATAATTATAATATATTTGTGGTACAAGTTATAAGTGGGAGAGAATAGGTGGATCCAGGCATCTGATATTTAGCTTATATTATATTTCTGAGGATTTATAATTACATATTATTTGTAAATTTGTAGCAAAATAGGTTCAATATATTTATAAGACTTGAGTCCTTGATCTTATGCCAACCCTTGACACAATATGCATATACTCATGATGTAGATTACAGCCAATGGACAGTGCTTTTAAAACACTGTATAGTTCCTATTGACAGTAAAATGCAACCTCCTGTACGGTCACTACATGCATTAGCTCAGATCTTTAGAATTACGTTACATTTTTCTTCCCTTTGCGTGAAAAATATTCCTTAACGTATTGAGTCTATTCAGATACACTTATGAAGGAATTTATTAAAACCTAAACGCAGTGCCACCAACTTACGATTTCATTATAACACGTAAAAATAGTTTTAACACTGACTCTTGCTAACATAAATGTGAACGGACTTTGACGAAACTTAGCACAGATGTAGAACATAGTCTAATTGTTATTGTTTTAATTCCGCGCGGACGGAGTCGCGGTCGACAGATAGTCTGTTCATATAATCGTTTATAACTTGTACCATACCACAAATACATCGTTGTTCCACGTGTATCGACACGTATTATTTATTTTATTATGGGCCAAAGATAATGGATAAGAGCGAAGTGGCTCCCGATGTGTTCGCTTGCATTCGTAATATGTAAAACGTGTGTATAAAGATATCGATTGGATTTTGTGAGAATTATTAACTTATTTGTTTTTAAGTAAGTAATTAATTATCTTTTTAATCTACATTCTTTGATTGATGTACTATAATTTATAAGTAGATATTTAAAAACGTATAATGCGTTTACGAACGGTTTTTTTTAAAGTTCTAAGTGTTAAGTAAAAACAAACACAAAACTATGCTTTAAGTTTACAATAGTACATTTGTCCAAAATTTAATGATGATTATATTTAGTTAATCGAGAATAAATTTTTTCATGTCCGTGTTCTACATATGTTTTTTAAGTATTCGAAAAATATTTGCCTTTCGTATTACCTTTTTAAACTTTTTTGTAGTACTTAAAACATTATTTTGTTCATTTCTATTAGTTTTAAATTATATATTTTAGTTATATTATTCATCAAAGTAAACCATGGACGTGGATATGGATAGTTTGAGCAAATTGGAGGAGATGCTAAAAACCGTTGACGGTGACAAAACTCCCTCTCGGAAAGAGTTATTGGATATGTTGGAACAATCAGAGATGGAAGAAGAGATGAAAGAGAACCTCAGAGCCATGCTGTCAGGGAACGTGCCTCAACTCTTCGGAAGCTACGGCAGTGGAACATACCTTGGGATATTGTTCGTTCTGATCATCTTCGGTGTACTCTGTAAGTTTAACTTTTATGGTGACTGGTTATTGGGTTAAAACAATGTGATGGGTCTATCATATATATAGAACGTCGGTGGCTCACGGGTTAAGCAGTTTTAATTGCAGTTCCTGGATTTAAATACCGTCTCTTATGTGTTTTACGATTTACATATGTATTTCATCCGATGTTATTACGGTGAAGGAAATCATTGTGCTGGAACCTGCATATATCTAAGAAGAAATTCAAAGATATATGTGACGTCACGCACTTGGCCAGCGTGGTTGAGTATGGCCTAGTTACCCCTAACTTAGGGTAGGCTCCGAGTCCCTCAGTGGGGACGTACAGTAAGCTGATGATACAAAGTTGGCTACACTATTAAGCACGCATGAGCAATGGTAGAAATCACTAAAACGAAATCAATCTGTCACTATTAATCAAGCCGCGATGTCTTACAGAAGCAGTGCTTAGGAGCTCTCACAGTTTTGCAAATTTTCATTTCGAAGTTTCGTCATCCTCATGTTTATACCACGATGTTATTATATATTTTGCATAATGTAGAAGCACGCTATGTCATCTTTAAAGTTAAAGCTTTTTTATGTTTGATTGATTAAATTATTTCTATTAGATTCGACCGCTCTGTTCGTTTCTGAGACAAAAATCTTCGTTTAAAACATATTTGTATCTCTGTTTTGTCAAAGATAATAACAGAGATGACGGTATGTTTTATACAGTGATATTAGTCTTAGAAACCAACGATAAGGGAAGTTAGGGATAACTACAAGCATTTGTTTTATAGAGTTTGAAACGAAAATTATATAGGTTAAGTTCTGTTTATTTTATCAAAGCTTTATGTCGCTTACATAACATTGATAATTTAAATCGTTGTGGACACGTAGCCTGGAGCCGCGTAAACAATTTTGTTGATAATTGTTAATCATTCAGCAATTAAGTATGTTGAAAGAAAGCGAAATTGCTATTGCTATCTAAAAAAAAATGAAGAGGACAGATTTGACTAAGATTTTGAATGTTCTTGACAAACTATAATGGAAGTTAATTTAATATGCGTCTATCTGTTCTACTAATTTTGTGTATTGCTTATAACCAAATTAAAACAGTTTTTATTTCGATAATTGTACGTAAGTCGTCTATGTTTGATAGCAAGTTTATCAATTGATATGTGTATACGTAATTAAATCGGACGCGATATTGTTGCATAGTGATAATAAATCAGTGTCCTTCGCTAAACGAAACAGTTTATCTAAAGGTGCTCGCTAAGTAACGTGGTGAGTTGTGTTATATTTTATTTAATTAAATAGCGAAAAAAAAATTTTTTTTGGGATTTTTTTTTTAATATTTTAACTAAAAGTAAATTTAGTGGCACTCCACTAAATTTACTTTTAGTTCACTACACTTAGTGATATTTAGTTTGAATCAGGACGTTTGATAATTTGTTTTTTATTTTTTATTTTGTTTTTAAGAAGTCAACGATATAATAAATATTGTCTATGGATTCGAAATCAAATCAATCTTAAAATAAATGTGTACATGATTTTTTTTTAATGAAGCAATTAATTTTTATGTTTTTAAATTAGTTAATTAATTCGTAAACTGCTCCTCCAATCAGTGTTATCAATTAATTTCCTTTGGTTCTGATTAATATCTTACCCACCTGCTTCGTAAACGTAATCTTATCTAAAAATTAGGATTAACTACCTACCTTGTTACAAACATTGCTAAATAAGTAAAATCCAGTCAAAAGATGATTTTACTAAAATAATTTCGAGAAATAACAACGGCTCATTTTATCCCTAAAACTCATTCCTCAATGTATCTTTGCCTTGGTTTTTACCAAAAAATTAAAAAAAAAACAACTTATCTATGTTTCAACAAGAATGAGAGTATAATTTTAATCTATAATTAAAAAGTAGTCATTGTCTTTTTGCCATCCTAGTATTTAACCCATAGCAACAACTTTTATTGAAGTAAAACCAATATTTGATTTTAAATATTTTTTATCAAAGAAAATGGCGGACCAACAAGGAGGTATAGGCTCTCAAATCGGTAAAGCCGTCACGAAAAAACTATCGGACTCTATCAAGAACATGGATGTATTAGGTTTGCTACAGAATATTGTAGCTATGACTCCAGAGGACGAGGAATCAGAAGAAATAAGAGAGAAACTGCAAGGTGTTATGAAACAGTATAACGAAATGCCTGAAGAAGAAAAAGTTTTATTCGCGAATCAATTGAAAGATGCGTTAGCAACAAAGTTGCAGATGAAATTGGATAACACTCCATTTGATTTGAGCGGAGTGGATGCAGCGATCAGTCGAGCTATTTATGTACAAGTGGTATTGTACGGACTTGCAGCTTTGTTTTTATTAATTCTTATCGGTACGTCTTTATTACTAATAATAAATTCTGGTAAAAGTGTTGAAGTGACATGTAACACAAACTTTATTTTATGTTTTTTTTTCATGTTATTTGCAGTATTATATTGCTTGTGTTTATTGGTATTCGGTGAACTGTCATTTGTTTCTCACAATGCAAATAGGACAAAAAGGTCAAATTATAGCTCATGCTAACAGTTAGCTGAACCATTTTCGACCCCAAGTGGGAAGCGAATTAAATTTTTTGACTGTAAACTTTTATAAATATTTGTAGCCTCTTATTATACATGCAGAATAAAAAAATATCAAATCGTCAAAGTGGTGATAGTTCAGTGATGAGACGCGACTGAGAATTCATCGTTTCAGTCCTCATTTAGGTGCATTATTATTTCTAATCCTAAGCCTATTCTGTGTAATGTAACATCAACTATTAAATATCGTTTTTTGAACTTGAAAATTGGTCCTTATGTACATACATATTATTGTAATTGCTTTACAATTCATAACGAATTTAACGTTAAAATCTACATAAATAGGAATGAACTCAGTAAAATATATTTTAAATATGTTTTGTAGTATTATAACTTAATTTTATCTTTTTTCAGTGTTCTTCGGCTACAAATTGTACAAGTCGATAAAAGACAAAGAGAAGAAACGGGAGGAAAAGAAGAAAGCTAAGCAAATGAAAAAGAAGAAATAAGAACATTTTACAACCGACGATTAAGTTACTGAAGTTAAGTTAGGAAACGACAAGTTGCCTGAAATATTATGAACGGATATTGATTCTGATGTGTCGCCGGCAAATCGCTAAACCCACCAGTTTGTAATTTGTTTAGGCAAATATAAAGTAGCAAAACCGCACGTTGAATAAATTCACAAAATGACGTTTTGTCAATTTGTAAAAATCATTTTACCAGCGCGGCTGTTATATTTTTCTATGCAGTACAGGATGGGTAGGGGAAGTGGATTTAACGAAGTAAGGGACGCGTAAGAAGAAATATTGTCTTTATGTTCGTCCTCTTCTCCGTCGAATTAAATTAAAAAGGCCAATGCAACGCCTAGGCAAATCAAAAATGAGCTGGATTTGCGATCTGCCGGTGACATATTTTGATTTTCATAATTGTTTTAATTTGTGACGTATAGACAAAAGTTTATTTTTATACTTTGTTTATTAACTTTTGGCAGCTAAAGAAAAACGCATCATTTCTCTCTCCATAATGTTTCACGCAAATACTTAATTTGACTGAATTAAAAAAAAACAATAGAAATACGAATTAAATACCTATTTATTGAATGTAATTATATTTGTTTGTGCAAAAATGTTGTAAACGATGTTTTTTGTTCTTTTTGACAACTTTAATCTTATCTGTGGAGATATTTTAACAATATTTTGTTAAATTATTGATTCAAACATGACGTATATTCATAGTCAAAATTATAAGTAAGAAATGTTTGTTTAATATTGCACAATTTCTTGTAAAAAAACTACTGTTTTCCGTTTTTTTAATTATATGTAAAGTGATTCTTGTAATGGGAACTGAAGAGGCCAAATAATTGTTTAATAATTTATTTTTATTATGTTTAAGGTTACAATTACATTCCTAATATTTAGAAGTCAATGTTTTGTTTGAAATATATTTATGTTTTTAAAAGAGGTTTAACTATTTTATAACCTTCAAATTCCATTCTGACACGAATACGAAGTTGCCATTTAAAATATTCCCAAAATGTCACCCGTCAAAGACTATCCATTACAATAGGGACCGTTTTTGTGATCACCTGGTTCACTTTTCCAAGTCCTGAATTAGTTATTAACAACTTATTTGATGAATTCATCTTTGTCTTTGATGTTTCACAATCTTCAAATAAGCTTAACAAGGTAAACTACAGGTTGCATCGTCTGTCAGATAATCATTCATTTTCTCAAAATCCTTTTTTTTTCTTAAACTTAAATTAGGGGTCGGGTGAATTAAAAGACAGTCATCAGAAAGAATGCTTTTATTTCGTTACAAACTATATTTACAACAAGTCAACATTCTCCCCGGTGATTTTCTAGAAAAATAAATTCAGAACGAATATCTTTGGGAATTTTTTCGCAAACGGGCCGAGGCTGGCTGGCGCTGGTACAATGCATCCGATATACGCGAGGCTTGAGCACACTAAATGTATTATACCGTTCAAACTTTATAGCGGATGGAGATTTACTCCGCGTCCTTCACATCTCGCTGTATAGTATTTTTCAAATATCTTGGCTGCTCAAAGACATCAGCGCGCTGCGCAGTGCCATCCGTATCTCCTGCTACACCTAAAAATGTTCCGCGGAGTGATTCGCGCAAAGTTAAGAGCCGCCAAGATATCTGAAAACATTTATACCTAACACCGTGTTCTGCACAGTCTCGTATGAAATTGCGAGCCGCCCTAAAGTTTGTCAGTATATTAAGCCGTCCCAGCATACACTCCATAACTTTATATAACCTTTTATGATTTATTTCGTACCTAATAAAGATTTTTTTGTTTTAAAATGTTCAGTAGATATATATCAAGATTATGTGGTCGATAATTTAATATCCAATATTAGGCCTTACATTAACACCCATTACGATCATTTTTAGTATTCGGAAATGAAAACATTAATAATAAATCTTGTCTAATCCCTAAAAGAAAACATATTTTGGATAGTTTTAAAGTTAAACTATAAAACGGTTGCTATAAATTGTCAAAATTCAGTGCGAAGACAACCTGAAGTAAAGATTTAAAAATTTCCTACTTAAATGTATTTAGAGACAAAAAAAATTAATCACACCCCACCGAAACTAAGTTGTATCAACTTGCGGTGTGTATAACTTACATAAAAAAGCTAAAACTTATGTTTATGTCCAAATTTAATGATTTATTATCCGCACGCAGAATGCCCGGTAATGCCGTACTCAACTGTTTAGTACCGTCAGTTAACGTGTGACGTCATACGGCTATCGGCAAAACTTCTGCGCACAAGTAATACGTAAATAGAAATGTTAGATAAATACATCTTTACTAAATTTAAAAAATCTATATAGGGTTCCCATACATCTTTCAATTTGGTCACAAATTTCAAAATCACTAGTAGTTTTAAGTTAATAGTTATATTTGATTAACCCTAATAGTTAAAAATTAAATAGTTTCTTCATCAGAATAGGACACAACCAAAATTCTTCTAAATTCATCGCTTAACTACCACATTCTTAGTCCTTTACCGTGGTTTTCAGAGACCAAAATCCCATTTAAAACATATTACCCCTATTTTGTCAAAGATGAGAATAACGATATATTTTATACAGAGATTTTAGTCTCAGGAACCAACGGTTAGCGATTAATCTGAGGAAATGTTTTACAAATGACCGACATTGTCTTGTTTAGTATTAGAAAATGGACTTAAAAATTGGTTAATTTAAAGGGGAACCATAATATATAATATAATTTTAGGATTACAGGATTATGTTTAACAACAGCCTATTCTAAACAAAGCCTGCGCGAAGCTTGTTTATACCATCTCTAAACTAGAATTCAGCCCCATTTTGAATTTTCATTTTAATCAAATCAAAATATACTAGTTCCAAATATCTTATATGTAGAAAAAATTGTGTTACGTTACATACTTCCTCATCATGTATTGGATTTTTGTCTATTTTCTTCTTAAATACGATAGTCTTTTTACGTCAAGAATATAAAACGCGAAGTTGAAAATCTTTTTTTAAAGCAATTTTATTATATTTAAATTAAGAATTATCGTTATAAAAGGATCGATAAAATGATAGCTTATTTTTTCTTCTACATACAAGATATCAAGATACTATTGTATTGTAGCATATTATATAAATTCGGTATTTAAGAATATAAGTTCAATGCATATAAAGTTGTAAAATATATTTTTGATAATACTCGAGTTAAATGCATATTAATTCGTTAATTACTATTAGTTTTATTTAGATCCTTTTTGCAAAAATGTAATCGCAATGAACCTGAAAAAATATGGACAAGTAAATTGAAAAAATATGAATTTGTTACTACGTGAATTCTTGTTTTTCTAAAAAAAAAACTTTAGAGTAAAATTTAAAAAATTACAACTACAGTAATTTCTATATAACTTGAAAAAAAATAATCTAGAAATTTCTGTTCCTGTAACTTTTAGATATATATTTTACTTATACAACCTTTTTAAACCTGACATTGAATTCACATATCACAATAGATTTAAGAAACTTGGCCGATATACATCTTCTACATTCCATTTCATATTCTGAAAGATTATAACCAAAGCCTTTACGTAGCTTAAGTTATCCGTTGGTAAAAAAAAATTATAAAGGTAGTTAAAAAACAGACATGAGGAATTTAGCTAATGTTTTAAACCTTTTTACAAAATATATACAATCTTAACCTATCCTAAATAACAAAAGTAACGAACTCCTACCGGACAGCCTATTTAAAAAAAAAATTATAATAAAAAAAACTACGCAAAAAATTTCACACCAGAGGCATATAGAGAATCTTTCCGATTCCTATAATGTTGCCATTCATCAAATTACATTTTAATTTTGTTCATCGATCACTTAATAATTTTTAATGCTACTTTTTTTATTATTTTTTTAAACACCTAACTAGTCGTCATGAATCATAAGAATCGGTCACTAAGTTACAAATTTTCCTCGACAAATAATTAAATTGTACTAAACAATACTAAGTTGAAAGGCTGGCCCTTTGATTAACACTTATGATTAATTAAAAGTAAAAAAAAGTACACTCCTAAAAAAAAGAATTACTAAATCACGTTTGTATTTAAAAATTCATTATTACTTAGTTTTCATTATTAAATAAATATCTTAAACTGACGCAGACGATGACAAAACCAATTGTTTTTTTTTCAATAAATTAGTTACGGATTATCGTGTTGTCAGAGTTGTCATTGAAATTAACTAATTTTTATTTTATTAACAATTAACTTGGAGCTACTTAGAAAAATTATAACTACAAATTAAAAATTATTAATCATTTCGTTTATACAATTGGCGCGAAAGGACTTGTGAAACATACTATTATCCGAACGCGCCCAAAAACCACAGATAACATAATCCATACAAATGCGAGTGGACATCAAAACCATAGAGAATCGATAAGGGCGATTTTTTTATTTTTTTGAACATATTTTTTTTAATCGCCCATTTTGATACTCAAGTATTGATAGACCATAAATCAAAATTTAACCTACAAAACTCCTATTGGTCTTCTAAACAAAATCTCTAACTAATACAGTTTTTATTCTAAGCGGTATTTTTTTTTTCGTCAAAATAGACTTTTATACAGGTTCATTTTACGCTTGATATAAGATAGTCATAGCTTAAGCACTTAGTGTTGCCATAGTCATTGACTAAATCAAATACCAAAACATTTTAATGTTGCTAGTTTTTGCATATTTTCATACGGTACGATTTTGGCTCAATATTTCTTAAATCTTAAGATTATTAACGATTTATATATAAACTTATGTTTAAGTTAAATTATTGCTCGTGATATTTAAAAATTACTTATATATAAGGTGATATAATGTCAACAATATAATCAGTCTGCAAGCTAATTAGTATAAAATTTGGTGCTAGGCAAGTATATAAACGGTTTTAATATATTACTGTATATAAGGCATATTGAAACAAAATTACTACATCCATTTATAATCAAATATTTTGTAGAAAAACAAGATTTTCTGCCCAAAACTTCTACAAGACTGATACTTTTATTACATATTGTCATCTCTTTTATACTCTCTGATAAAATAGAGACCACAATATGTAGTCGAACTAGAGAAGCGAGAAACCTCTATAAGCGAGAGTCATTGTTCGGTCCCGACGCACAACGTTCATACGAGAAACTTTAGAGAGAATTCTCTATTAGCGAGAAAATATCCCTGTCTCTTGGAATCTCACTAATCTGGGTTCGACTTGAAAAGCCTAGATTTTCTACTTTTGTTTCATAATGTTTTATATTGGAATATGGATGGCCAGTGTCAAATAGCCTTTAGAAATCGGTATCACATGAAAAACGGCGTGGATAGTCTATAACTAAATTTGTACTGTTTAACATAAAATTTGGTATTTTGAGTATATATTTTGAATTTTTTTTTTTTATAAATTGTTAAAGAACAATTCTACTAATTCAAAAAAAGAACATAAAAAAGAATGATTAATTTTTCTATTTTCGAGGAGATTTTTTTTTACTAATAAATGTTATTTATAAATGGCCTATATTTTTTTGTTTACTTTTTATTGTCAGGATGTGTTATATAATTTTGATTAACATTTTTAAACTATTGAATATCTATGGTTATATAAATCGCCCAATATTTTATAATATAAAGGAAAAATTAATTACAATTTTAATTTTATAACATTCATATATACAATAATTAGCAATTATCAAGATATATTTCGAACGAATATTTACAAAATTCTTCCTCATTACAATATTAAATGAATATCAAATCGATACTAAATATGTGACGTCAATATTTTTTAATCTACATTTAAAAAGAAATGGTTAGTGGTTTACAAAAGCACAGTTTATAAAGCAATTTGGGGGGTTAAACAATTGGATTATTTTATAGAATGTTCACATTGTGACACAGCCTTTACTATTTGTGAAAAAAAAAACACATAATTCAAAACTATATGAACATGACTAGGTCGTATTGATTTAGAGGGGAGACGAAAGATCATTAAATCGAAGCAATTAATGCCAAAATAGCTAGAAAAAACATGCTTCGATTTTAAATCACTTTTAAATTAGTTTCTACAAGTAGTCAATATTGCTTAAATTTTGATATAAATCCCCCCTCTCCTAGCCACGTCCAAATAAGTCATTAACCCTGATATGACACGAAAACGACCACCCAAAGCCTCAGTAAGGGTGCAATATATTCACCCATAGAGATGTTACAGATCAGATAAACTATCATAAGCTAATAATACACAAAATATTGACTATATCCATTCTCTTATTTTAAGCAAGCATCTTAATTTCGATATAATCTATAATACCTCTATGGACACAACATGCGAGCCAAAACCGTCCGTTTGACGTAGGAAAGAAAGAATTATGTGTGAACAAAAAAAAAAAGATTACACTACACTAGTGAGGTCCGTAAGTTGTTGTGGAGGAACGGCGACACACGTAGCGCTACGGCGGCGGGCGTCACTTGCCCGCGTGCCCGTTCCCCAGCGCCGGCTCGACCACCTGCAATACGAGCGACGTGTGAGCGCACAGCCGTGTGTCGTCGTTCCCAATGAGGCTGGAATTACTCACGCGAAGCGGGGGTTTTTCTGTTTTTTTTTAATTGACTAACTAAAGTTACTGGCCACTTATAAAAAAAATTATATCTTTTTTTTAATACAAATCTTAAAAGTACTGGCCATTTACGAATTTATAATTTAAAAAGTTAACCACCGCCACGCGTTGTCTATTTACATTCGCAGCTCAGATTGGTTGGTTGGTTCAAATTAAGAATTTTGTTCTTTTTTTTTAAACAATCCGAACTGCAAAGTCAACCCGCCACCAATGCCAAGCGAACACCCAGCTATTAAAGTGAATGTGATTGGATTAAACCGTCCATTCCAAATTTGAATGTTAGATTTAGTTTTTTTTTTTATTGTCGCTTTTAAAGTAGTCTAGCCCCATAAGGTCACGATATACACAGCTGCGCGCAAGCTATCATTTAGCTGTTGGAATGTACACAATTAAGTAAAAAAAAAATACTGGCACCATACAAAATAAAAACAAAATATTAATGTTTCTCGTGAAACATAACAGCTAAACAGTAGCATATGTATAAAAAACAGGAATGTACACAGACCATGTTAAAAAAGAAATGATAAAGCCACGTTCACACATGCAAAAACTCAAATTTATACCATAATTCCTATATAAAAGCAACATCAAACTGAAATTGGTGTTACACCTTTTATAATTTCAGTTATCTAAAAATGTACATCAAAAGCAATTTACACACAGAATTATAATCTGTAAAGTATATGGAAGAAAAAATTCTTTATAAAATTTATAGATTTTATTATAACAATTCATACTATCAACTAATTATTAAAAAAATTGTATATGTTCATTGTATATGGGAAATTCCTGTAAAGTTGTGTACAAGTGTAAGAAATTGTAACCATGGGTTTCCACTGACGAATAGCTTATACATGTTGATTGTACCATGACGATGTTTTTGTACAGATTTTTCGTTAGTGAAAATTCACAGTTACATATGAAAAAACTCCAACAGACATAAGTATCTTAATTTTCTCAAAAAAAAAAACTTTATCCCGAATGATCGGTAACATTTTAAAAATATATAGAGTTAAAGAAAATTATTTGCATTAAAATTGCATGATAAAATTTTGCGAACTTTTTTTTAAATATAAAAAAAAAATTTAAATCACCAAAAGTAAAGAGAAAAGAAAGATTTAACATAGTTAAAGTTCAAAGTAAAACAGGGTGTACTTTTTTAAATGGAAAAAAAATTCAGGAAATTGGTTTTAAAACGAAATAATAACTAATATCAACACAAAATAGGTAACATTTAATTAAAAAAAAAAACTGTACTGAAAATAAAAAAAAAAAACTAATTCTATAGAAATTGTTCTCAGTTATGTACACAACTCATACAATAATCTCAATATTACAGTTACACAATTTACATAAAAAAAATACATTCTCTACTTAAACTATAGAAAAAACATTAATATGTTAATGTAACATCATCTAATACATTAAGTACTTTGTCTAGGTAAATATTTCTAAAAATAACTAGTGCCTATTTGCGATTTACACTACAGAGTAAAATGGTAACAAAAATGGCACCATTGTAAAATTATGTTTTACAAAGTGTATAGTATTTACAAAATTACAAACGCACGCTGTATATTGGGTGCCAACATAAGATTTAAATACATAGATTGATACTTAAATATAAAAAAAAAGTGTTGATATTTATATAACCGTGAGTTTCTACTGTCTCCTGATTTTGATCAATGAAAATAATGGCCAAAAGTGGCAAAATATTCTAATCATAAAAACTTAGAGGAAAATCAGTATGCCACTGAAAATTTTCAATATAAAATTTCATCGACAGACTTGAAAAAGCTTCAAATGAATAAAACTTAAATATAACTGTGGAGTTCCATTCCAGAAATACAGATTTAACGACATATCATCTCTGTTTTTAAATGAGAGGGATGACAATATGCTATTATTCTGTTAGAAAATTACAATATGTTTCCGACAGAAGTTACATCAGTGGAAACATACTTTTAACATCAATCTATGCATTTTCATCATTGACTAAATTACCTAAGTCACAAGCGCAATACAAACGACAATAGATCATATATTTCTAATTTTCAACCCAATAATAAGGAACACACATCACAACACCCTGTATACATTTTTTCCATTCCATCTTTTGAGCAAGCAATAACTTAATTATACGAGTCTTAACAAAAATGAGTCTATTTATGAAATTAAAGCTGATATGGTAATGTGTTCAGTTGTGTTTTGATGATATTAAACATTTAAACATAATTATAATTCAAGAAAAAACATCAAAAAATAAAAACAAACGATTCTATATAGTAGTCGACTGCTTATCCCATTTTTAACATATCAATATTACTTGCAAAAACAAAATTTTTGTTTAAAACACACTAATTGATTCTATTATTTATAGTTTAAAATGTTTATACAAAATACGTAAAGATATATTAACACGTTGAGCGCCACGCGTATTTTTAAGACAATCCCGTTCAGGCACTGACGTTTATACGCACTGGTATTAAAGAACCGGTGTTTCCGATCGCAGTGCAAAATAGTTTACATTTTTAAGGCAAAATAGTGTAAAATTTTATAGCTCTCATATTACACGATGTCAGCCACCGATTGTTGACGCAACCTAAACGGAAAGTCTAGTGTCAGCCACCAATAGCTGACGTGGCGTTCAACGTGTTAAAATAAATTTTTCATCTCTATGAAAGCTATATTATATAAATTTTGATTAAAAAAATATTGCTATACATAACAATATATACTTATATGCACATCGCTAAAATATATTAAATATTAACAACAATAATTATACACTAATATAAATTTGAGATTGTATTCATATGTATTTAGTTTAATATATATTTTATATAACAATAAATAAACTGTATATATGAAACACTAAAAAATTGCAATATTAAAACATAACTTGAGATAAATAAAGGTGTGATGAATTAGTGTAAACTCCATATAACGACTATCAAGAGAAGAGTATTTTGCGACGTTATACAGAGTGGACGTTTAATAGAGGAAAAAAATATTATATTTCAAGTCTATAGTAAAGACAAGTTAGTCTTTCGTCCAGATTCTATTGAGGGTATTAATGAAATATTTTCGTCAATACACAAAGAATTACGTTAATTCCCTATGTGTAATGTTCGAAAATGTGGAAGCAACTGTGATCATGATAGTTTGGCAAGTCTGGGGACCCTCATACAATAACAATATCCAACAATCCTAATATTACCTAGTCAACCGTAGTAAACGCTTGCTAGATAAATCAACAAAAGCATGTATGAAGCTATAGTTTCTAGAAATTTGGACAAGTTGACATTAAAAAGTATTTGCTTGATGGTTTATAACGCGTATTTTCTAAATGGAGTGTGTAAGACATGGACTTTACGTAGTAGTTTATGGATAACAATGTATCCAACCTAAATAAGCAATTTCCTTTATAAGGAGATTGACGTTATATCGAGTGACGTTATAAAGAGTTCACACTATATTTATACATAAAAGATAAAAAAGTATATTTATATTATGTATTGTTAGAGAAATTAGTAATATTGGTAATTTATATTAAATTTTGCTGCAGGAGTAAATTTAATATCTGTACTATCAAGTATTTTTTATTCTTTTAGATAGTTAAAATTATTTTCAAGTCTATCAAAGTTTATGAAAGTTCTTACACCTTAATTACTGAAGAAGAAATTTTATTGACTTTGAAAGTTGTTTTGTACACTTTAGCCTTTCAAAGTATAACATTTGCATTTCATAAGAAAAAGCTGTAAAGTAAGAAATTTTTTTTAGTGTTGAAATTGTCGTAATATAATTTAGATAATAAAAAAAAGTATATAAAAATGGAATGTAATGTTCGCGATAATATTCTAATTTAAACAAGGGACGACTTACAAAGCTTAATAAATAGTCACTAATGTATATATTAAGAATAAGAATTTGTACATTATATAAGACGGTTTCATAGCTCTAATATTAAATAACACTGCGACATATTCTAATCGAGATATTGAAGCAACTTTAATAAGTCATGTAAATGCTATATGTTCCATTTCCTATATATATTTATATACATTTTCCAACTTCTAAAATAAAAGACAGGAACTAACATTACACAATATTTTTAACATTTTTTCAAGTTTGACTTTGATTTAACTATATTATAATAAATTTAACATTATAATATTACAACAATGGTAAAATATAAATGTACAATGTAAAAAGAGTGCAAGGCAACCAAATACTTTTTTGAACCACTATACAACGCGTATAAAAATAACTTCAATATGTATAACAAGATAGGACAATAAATCATCTGACTATAACATTTATAGCAGATACTAGATTTTATAAATTATCTTCGTGTATTTTTACTAATCCCTGTTTTATTTTATGTAAAATGTTCACTAAGGAAAACTATCAAAGCAGTCTTCACAAGCGACATCATTGTTTAAATAATTGCCACCTTTAGTCAATGCAAATATGAGAATTGCACACAACTGTATTTGTACCATTAGACAGGTACATAAAATAAGAAATAACCGATTGGTTATAAGCATGCGACTACTCTGGCGGCGGCGGCGGTACTGGCGGCGGCGGCATGGCGGGCAGCGGGGGCTGCGCGCGGGGCTGCGGGGGGTGCGGCGGGCGCGGGGGCTGCGGCAGTGACATCTGCGGCCGGGGCTGCGGCGGCCCGTACATGCCGCCGTAGAAATACCCGTCCATGCCCATACCGAAGTACAGCGGGGGCGGCGGCTGCACCATGTAGTAAGGTAGGGGAGGTCTGTAAGGGGGTGGGACGTTCCAATTGCCTACCTTGTGGTGTGGAGCTCCGTTCTGGCGCGGCATCTTGGGCGGCGGGCCCGGCTCGGGGACGCCGGTCCGCTTTCTCGACGTCTCGAGAACCTCCTTGGATATCTTGATCTTGAGGCCGGCGGAGGGCTGCGGCGGGGGCGGCGGCGCGGCGAGCCGCTCCTTGGGGATCTTGATCTTGAGGCCGGGGCTGGTGGATAACTTATCTCGTGGTATAGTTATCCTCAAGGCACCGTCCATCAGGGGCTCCGCCGGAGGGGGTTGAGGGCTCGGTTCCAACTTTTTCTCCCTTTCCTTATCCTTTTTGTGTTTCTTCCTTTCCTCTTTCGATTTGTCGCGATCCTTGTGTTTGTGTTTGTCCTTTTTCTTCTTTTCCTTCTTGTGCTTGTGGTCGGCCTCCTCCTGTGACAGCGGTTGGGCCGGAGGTTCGGGTTGTGGGGGGAGTTGGACCGGGGCCGGGGGCTCCATAACAGGTTCGCGCTTAACCTCGACGGGGGACTTGCGCTCCGTCTGCACGGTTATAGGCGCCGGTTTCGCTAAACTCTCTTTGAGTAAATTGGATACTAGAGTTGGGTCGGTCTCTATACCGTTGAGACTTCTGACGGGCTCGGGCTTCCTCTGCTCCGGGGGACGGGACCTTATTGTGTTGCCACGCTGTGAGTCTCGTATCACATTTTCGTAGCCGGGGGTCTCGTCTAGTTTTTTCACCACAGGAATTAGTTCGGGCTCAGAGTTGGAGGGGGCGCGTTGTCTCGGCTTGGGCGTGGGCTCTTTGGCGGGGGGAGACGAGAAGGGGGACAGTATGGCCGGTGGTTGCATCTCTCGTATCGCGGCCGTGGGGTCCGGTCGTTTTTTGTGCGGACTGGAGGGACGCTGGTCTATTACTGGTTGATTATGAGGCTGCTGAATCGAAGCAGGAATAGAAGGAGGTTGTTGGAGGGGGCGAGACTCGGGCCTAGGAAGTCTGTGCTCTCTACTTTGTGGCTGGGAGGGTTGCGGTCGCCGGGGAGCCGCGGCGGCGGCTGCCGTGGGCGTAGTCGCATTTTCTGGGGAGAATAGCGAAGGTGGGCGCGTCCGTTGAGGTATTTGCTCCGGCTGCGGCGGATGAGGCACCGGCGCCGCAGTGGTCGTCGGGGGAGCTTGCGGCCTATGATGTCGGTGCTCATGCGAAGGTTTTTCGTGGGGAGGTTTTTCGTGAGGTTTTTCATGAGATGATTTTTCGTGAGGTGGTTTATCGTGAGGTGGTTTATCGTGGGGAGGTTTGTGGTGGGGCGGTTTGTGGTGCGGCCAGGCGTGGTGCGGCTTGTGGTGGTGCTGGCTGGAGGAGGGCCGCTGGTGGTGCGGCGGCGGCTGGGAGCCCCCGGGCGGTCTGGGCTGCTGCGAGGAGCTCGGCCTCGCCTGCTGCAGCGCAGCTTGTCTCCGCTCTCTTTCCTCTCGCTCCCTCTTTTCTCTGTACAAGTTGTAGTCGATCTTCTGTGGCTGCGGGGGGTTGGCGGCGGGGGGCGCCGTGGCCGGCACGTAGCCGCCGGCACCGGGCTGGCGACGCCTCTCGCGCTCATATTCTGATATTGAAGGAAGGTTGTTAATTTGTGTAAAATAAGAATTACTCATGTTGATTAATACACAAAGACATTAATAGATACCTTTATCAAACGACTTATCAAACTCGTCGCTGTTGGGCGGCGGGTGTTTCTTGTCGAAGGGTGAGTTGGCGACGCCTGCTGAGGAAGACGGGTGTGCCGCGTTTGAGTGTGGTGAACTTCCGCCTGCAAAAGAACTCAATTTAATTAAGCAGAACGACTACCATGCGTGATACTGGTGATACTGGCAGATTAAACCGTGCATCAATGCTGTATCAGCAAATGTGACCACACTTACTGTTATTGGACATAGTCATCATCTTCCTCTTGAGTCGCGAGGGGCACTTGTCGAAGATGTGCAGGAACTCTGCCGTGAGCCGCTCCAGCAGCTCTGACGTCACGCTGCGGTCCACGTACGAGAACCAGTGCCGGCCCTCGTGCGATTGAGGAATCTGATACAACAAACACATTATTAACGGATTAAAAAAAAAGCTTTTATCGTTTTAATTTTTTTTTGAATCTAATACTAGAAAAGTTTTGCAATTGTTTAATTTAAATCTCCCTTATATAAGTAAAAATTAATTTTCCTAATAACATCATTCAATAATCTTCAATCTACAGAAAGATCTAATCTTTCTCTCTATTTTTTTTATTTGACCATACAGGGGATTACATAATATATAATGATACTATAAATGGTGTTCCAAAAGAAAGTGATATTATTTATGTATAATTTGTGTTTTGACTCACCGACCAATTGCTCCATTTAGAGGCCAAATGTATGCAAAAGCATGCAACAACCGTCGGCCTGTACTGCAAACACATTGTCGTCAAATGTAGACTGTTCGACGCCATAAAATACGACGTCTGCGCTAGGTCCTTTGGCGCTGAAATTGACAAATATAAACTATTCAATTCTAATGAATAAATGTGAAAAAAAACAATAAAGCAAAATGATTTGGACTGGTAAATGAAAATTAAAAAATTACGTGTCTTATCTAAATATGTTGTACGCTATGATAAATGGCATGTGTTTGGTGAAACATATGTTATTATTCGCATAACTTTGTTATGTTTTCGTTTAATGATTTGTTATCATGCAGGATAGTTATGGAAGTAAGTCAATTCGAAGCAACAACTTATAATATACACAAAAATATACAGGATGACCTAAATGTCTTTAGCGTAAGAACAGAAAATATATAGCCAGAAAAAATAATTTATTCTAGTAGTAGTCACTAATCCAATTTGGTGACTACTTTTAAATTGTCATTTTATCACTGAGTTATAGAATAATTCAATTTGCATAAGCATAAGCGGATTGAAATGCCCATGTTTTCTGCAGACTATTGCACATTCCATGGACACCCTGTACATCGCTTAAAAAACGAATTCAATAGAAAATAAAAATTATTACTATTAAAATTAAATACTTTTCATGATTAAAAATACGTAATATTAAAAAATACACTAGGAACCTCAACTATAACCTACTAGGGGTTGAAAAGGGGGTTGCGTTGATGTGCGTGAATGGTGGGGGGTGGACACACAAAGATTTATTTCCAGTCAGTTGTCACATACCTCTAGTCGCTGGGAAATGGGTGACACTAAGCCCCATGTGGATCGCATCGTTTAATTTTTTTTTGTTCGGATCGCACGCGGCAAGTCTAAGCGGTATTTGAGAAACGGTTATGTTACCTCTTTATACGATTCTTTGTTTGACTTCAGAGTTGCCAAAAAAAAAATAACGCGGCAAAAATTCAGGCCCTCGTCAATTATTCATATTCATACTTTCTTACATTCTCACTTTTTAAACTTAGGCCTGCACCCTATACTTGTTAAAAGTGCAGCCCCAAGTGTTAATACAATAAAAAATACAGGGACATGGAAGAAAAACAAATTTTATCGTAAAAGGGTAACTCAAACCTTCTCAAAACTACCACCGCACATGAAATTAGACCGGCCGTACGCTAATCCGTACGTAAATCGGAACGCGCCGCATCGTCGCCATAGAGTGGGGAAATGCATCGCCAGCGTGTAACGGAACGTGCTGATCGGCTCAGTTGACGATCAACTCGCAACGCATGGACGGACGCTTGTCTCACCTTTGACAAGGTGACACGTGCGTACGACGTGCGTGTGCGGATGGTCGATCGCGACATCGAAACCTAACGTCTGTAGGAGTACGTTCTCGTTGAATACCAGGTCCTGCGCCTGTAACAACCACCATCATTATATACCTGACTATTAAATCTAAAATTTAACACATTAACCATTAACATTACCTGTTCTTGATACTGTTCCGAAGTGAGGGCATTCACTCCCTCACCCCGGTGAAGGCAGACATGTGCTACCTTTATTACATATTCTAATTTTCGTGGTTGTTCCTCCACCTGAAATAATAGCATCTTTTGTTTAAAAAGTAAAAGTACTGTGTTGCCAATTAAATTCTTTTTAATTAATAACACATTTTTTTTTGTGTGAAGTAAAGTTACATACCTTTGCGGCGAGGAAGAGTGCCGCCGCGGCGATTGCGTTCCTGTGGAACTGTGTAAACGAGTGGAACGCATAGAAGCGATGCATATACACAATAGCCGTGTTGATGCATAGTTGTGAACTGTATTATTACTGTTAAGGAAATTTATTTGTTTTTTACATCAACACATAAATATACGACATATCTTTTATAAAAGTCAAGTACAATAGTTCATGTGCGTAAAACGTAACACCTCAGTATTAGAGTAGAACTAGATGCCGCCCACGACTCCGTCTGCGTGGAATTAAATTATACATAGTAAGTAGTACACTCAAACCTACTGAATATGCATATAAAATTTCATAACAAACGGTCAATCCGTTTCGGAGGATTATGGTAACTAACATTGTGACACCAGATTTTTTTTAATACATTTATGATGTAATGAAAATTCGCATATTTCAACAATAAATAAACAACGCTATCAACTCATCAGTTAGAACTTACCAAGATAACATAGAACATAACATAATAATTTTATGATTCGATATTATTAATTTTTGCGACCCCCGAAACGACGAGAAGGTCTATTTTAATTTCCTTTTTCATTGAAATGTGAAGACGTCATTTCAACTACTGTAACTAGAGTAAAGGAAATCAATTTCAAAATGATTATCAAATTGGCACAAATGTCTACTACCAAGTAGCCATTCAACATGCTGTATTTCAGGTCGAGTGACGCCGAATTAATTCTGACCTAAAGAAAAGTAACGTTTACTGTATCAAGGTAAAGTGCAAAAACCTTGTGCCACATTGCCTGTATACACTCTTTACCCATCTAGATTGTTAATTTTTTAATAAGATTAATAAAAATCCATTCTTTAAAAACTCTATTAATTAATTATTTTTCATATAAATGCTATCATAACCTAAAAACTAAACGCAAAAGTAAGTCATAAAGGTATCAAAACCTATTTATAAACCAAAAATATTCATTGAAATGGGTTCAATCCATGACTTAAATAAGTTTGAGTAAAACGCATAGCTTCCTATCTTATTAAGGTTATAAGGCCGCGGTTTACGTGGATGAAAGAGCCGAATCATCTGACCTAGCTTGGCGTCGTTTTGCATGTACTTTTTTTTGCGGCCGCGTGCAAAAAGCGGTACAACCGTATGTGACCCGTTTAGCCGGCTTTCACTATTGTTCGTCATGTTTCGGTCCATAATGACGCAATATAGTTTGATTTTATCATGAAATATTTTTGAATCCACTTAACTCTCAGTTGAAATCCCATACTTCCTTAGTTACTTCAGCAGTATATAAATAAATTCTGCAATTACTAGCTCTGTTATCGAAACTATAAAACTATAGCAATAATGGCGTCAATTATCAAATGGGCGTATCTTATTTTGAATTGTGTTATAAAATTTATACTACAACTATAAATGCATAAAAATTTTCTTTCAGGTTTACGATTTGAAGAATACATTAATTAACTTTGATGCGTAAAAAATATAAAATAATAGACACAACGAAAGACATTCAAACTATTGAAAATCTAAAAAAAAGTTCAGTTGTTTATCGAACCACAATCCTAATGTATAAAAGCTAGGTGCATTAACCACTGTACCATGATGTACTATCGATATTTTTAAAAGTGAATGTCAACAAGGCATACAAAACAAACCTACAAAAAAGTCAAACAACAAAGTCACTCGTGATAAGGCATGAGTCATTGCACTTTTCCGCCTTATTTTTCGCGCTCTAAAATGCAACGCAAATCTACCGGCTACCAACTTGACACAGCTGTTTGTGACTCATTGTACTACATTGATATTAATTTATAGTTTTCCGTATTTTTTCCTCTTGTTACAGTATTTCTGAGAAACCATAATCTAATTTGTAGTAAACAAATTATATACAAGCTATATTAATACTTGATCACATGTAATGAACCTAATCTATCCTATTAAAAATGTAAAACACAAGACAGGAACTTACAATATTCTACTACCAGTGCATCTATCCATGGTTATGGATATTTTTGAAAGCTATTTGAATTCGATCAGAATAATAATTACAAATCTTACTAATATTATAAATGCAATAGTTTAGAATGCATCCCCAGAACGGCTTCATGGATCTAGCATAAATACACATAGGCTACTAATTATGTTTTTTTAATTCCACACAGATGGTATAGCGGGAAACAACTAGTAAATAATAATCTTGATATTGCATTCATTCTATGCATTCAACGTAGTAATACAAATATTTTTATTGCATATTTTATAATTCTACACGACAATTTTAAGCCGTGTTTTATCACTGCACGATAACATTCCAATGTCAACTGGCAAGGTCTACCATAACTGTTAATACATTGTGACAAATCATGCGAGTAGTTTACTAGCAAGTTTTATGAGCATATTAATAAAAAAATTAACTACCCCTTACTTACTGTAAGTACTGTAGGTGCAACAATAAGATATTGATAGAAAAGAGAGAGAACTTATGATTTGGTGGACATGAGAAGAGACACAATAACCTAGGAAGCCATCTAAAGAGAAACTCGTAAAGTGTAAAAAAATATCTCTAAAACCAACATTTTAGAAACATTGTATTGACATGGTATATTTTCTGATTAAATTAACTGACTTGGTACAACATGGTATAACTTTGTACATTTGAAAAGCAGAGTTGTTATACCATTATAACTTTAAAAATCATATCAACATGTTTATTGACAGGTTGTACTGCCAATTTTCAAGTGCATTTAGAAAGGTACAGGTAGAAAGACATTGTAATCCGCTATTGTTAAGGAATGTATTGTTATATACACAAATATTGCAAGGGACCTTTTTGAAATTTTCCAAGAAAATATTACATTGTCCTTTGAGTTAATTGTTTTAAAATATTTTTACTAAGAACATGTTAGTAAAGTTATAATATAATGCAAATAGAAAAATTTAAACATTCCTAAATAACTACAGAACATAGGAATAAGTACATGATCTTGAAAAAAATATCATATAAAATTTATTTTTTGTTACCAATAAACTCACTGTTCTTTTTACCTTACCAATCAAACTTATCCTTGTACTAGGCCATGGTTTGAAGGTTAAAACTGGTTAAGCTTAACTATTATCTAGTTTAAAAGCATTTTACATAACTTGAAACATAGCTATTCATGAATGACGTTATTACAACATTGTTATTGATAATTGCAATATACATGACTTAATAACAACACTATCTTTCACTGGGGTCAATAGCAGGAAGCGATAAAACTACACGCTTCAAGACGCGCAAATTTAACAGGAAAAAGGCGGTTAAATTTAGCGGACAGGTCGATCGCCAGACCCTACGTCATACGCGCAGGCGTTCACAGCTGTCAAGGATCACTGACCTAAAAAATTATCACGCCATCACGCGGCTCTAACCTTAATTACTACACATGATAACAAACTAGTCATGAATAAAGTCTAGGTCCTTACCTTAAGAAAACAATGTCCCAGCCCACGAGGCGGCGGGAAATCCCAGCGCACCGAGGGAAAGTAACGACACAACGATCATTACTTTGAAGATATTTCGTCATAATTTTTAACCACCGCACATCGTAAAAACACACGACACAAACTTTTGTATTACTATAATGAAGATACACTTCAATTTTGATATAAACTAAACACTATATTGTAGCGTGTTTTACACGTTTTACGCACATGACTTGACAAAAACATTGCACTGAAATAGCCACATTGAAAAGGATACACTTGGAGCCGTTGGCCCATATCCTGAATAAGGTTCGCTGCCTGCTGCCGGTAGGCAAGTTCTTTATCTGCATCTAAACCGCATCTTCTGCTTGGTGAATTCTGTAGTTGCTCTTTTGTAAAATACCATTTCTCTTGTCCTCCAGCCATTGAACGAATGTTCCAATGACTGCGCGCGAAGAAGCACGACGGAAAATTTAGATCCGTTTATGTGCCCGAGTGCAAAAGAGACAGCGCTATGACAGCGACGGACGGATGCAGGCGACGATAACATTTGAAAGATTTTACAATATAAGAAATCGCATAGTTAAGTTAATTTGTATTAAATTGTTCATAAACATGGATTTAATAATTACTGAAGTTTTATCCGTTTAATAATACCTATAAAAATATATGAAAATATAACGTCACTACTTGTAAACTTGGTGTGTATAATCAAACGGCCGCCATTGAAAAACTTAGTGGTTAACGTAGTGAGGTCTCCGGTGACAGAATGGTGATCTGCAACAAACACAGGTACGGATAAGATACACACTATGTTTAATTTTATAGAACAAACGCTTCTGATTCTTTTGTACATATTTTTATCACATTTCATACACTTTTTGCACCAAATAGAGCATTTTAAATTTACACACCTAAAAACTCTGTCACTCGGTGCAAATGGCCGACCCACCACTGTTTACAATACACTTCATTATTTCTTTTGTCGAATAATATATTACATGCAGGTAGAGACGAATTGCACTTCTGTAAATTTTGTTTTAATTTTTTCATTAAGAATGAGGTATTTTTGTTATTAAAATATTAGTTTGTAATTATTAATAGTTAATAAGGACGGTATTCGATAATTTTGCCTTTTCGCGGTTTCAAAGTATACGTGGAGTGCGGTGTCGAAATCGAATTGAGTCGTAGAAGTAAAAAAAAATAAAAAATATATTACGTAATTTTATTTACTTCTTAATATTGTGATTCAATTCGCTAAATTATAAAAAAAAAGAAACGTAATTAGTTAACGAGCGATAATGTTTTCAATAATAGAGCCTAACATGAAAAATTCGGGAAATCATAATATTAGAATTAATGAGTGTAAGTACTAATTAACTCTTTGATTTTAATGAGCTTTAATGTGTTTGTTATTTTATTTAAATATTGCATAATAAAACCGTCTCAAAATAGTGTCCATATGTTACAAACATATTCAATATTTCGACAAAAAAAAGGCATCACTCGATTTGATTTTTGCCAGATACATTTTATTCCTTAAACTCAACGTTATAAGACAATACGTATACTTTTACTACACTTTCACTTACACTATAAATACGAAAAATGAATGTTAAAATCTGTAAACACTATACATTAACTATCAATCTGTTTAAATCTACATATAGTGCTATGCCTAACTTTGGTTGCAATATAATTAATATGTCTATAAGATACAAACTAATATAGTAGTTATTATTAACTTAATATTATCAAATATACTCTGTAACAATTTATGATTATAATTTCCAGATAAACCAGTTGAAATATCAGATATGACGAGTCAGGAAACACATAAAGTTCTACAATATCCTAAACCAAGAATGCTGAGTCGTGGCAGAGGTTCTGCCTCTACAATAAGAATCACAAATGTCAAATCTATTAAGCCACCGGATAATGATGTTATCAAGAAACAGGAAGAGGAGAAATTAAGAGCTCAAGTTAGTATCAAAATTTGATAAAGGTAGCTTCTTAGTTGCACTGTTTTCAGAGAGTTACATGTAGAGTTTTAGCCTTCAAATAAGAATAATTTAAATGGAGTGATTAATGAGTACAGAGATGTCTCAATTTAGCATAGAATTTTATGTAGCTAGGCTTAGAACCATTTATACTTGCATTGTATACCAGCACTGATTTTGAATACCATCTGGTCATAATGTAAACTATGTATATAATAATAATGTCCTAAAAGCTATTAATTAATTCCAGTTACAAAAAGAGATAATGTCACGGTCTCGTTCCTGCGCGTATCGCGGCTACGTGTGCCAGCTGGCTGTACTTAGTGGGCGACAGCATTGTGCAAGGCATATCTTACATGAGCCGGGCGCTCCGTACAAGCAGTGTGTACACACATACGCTGGGGGACAGAGATGCAACAAACCAGCGCCAATACCACCAGCGAATACACAGTCAAGAGATGCCGGGTAGGTAACCATCAAGAAAGTGTAGCGTCTGTTAGTATTATCAGCTAAATTGGTGAATAAATAACCTTGCAGAAGTCAGTCTAATGCTATTTACCATCATTTTGCATGTCAGTTAAAGTATGTCACATAATTTATTCTTTTTTTAATAAGATAGATACTAAAAGGAATTATTCTGACCAGTATGTTATGTCCCTATTTAAGTTGTGGCTTAAGAGAGTATGAATATATTATGTGAAAAAGAAAATATGATGGAGTGACTTCAGATATAATGCCCGAGACTTGTATGGAAGTACATACAACCAACCCTCTATATGGAAAAAGACTGATGATGTTTGTAATATTGGTATGTGTATATTGCAGGTTATGTTTTGAGCACGCGCGTGCTGCTCTATACGCCCGCCAGCGCAGCGCAGCTCCGCCCCCGCCTGTCACCACCACTGAGACTTTGCTCAACCAATTGCAACATTATATACGGTCAGTGAAGTGTTTTATAATGATTGTTTATAGTTATTTACATATTTCATACTGTCCTATGTCCCTTTAATGGGGCAGAGAGCGTCCACAGTGTGCCTCCAGTTCTCTATAACTTAGGATTTGTGTTTGGTCTCTGGCCATGCCAAAATAAAGTTACTTAATCTTATCAATGAATCATAGACATAACCAATGTTTTATTTTATTAAGGTCCACCAACATGAACTTTAAATAAAAAAAATAATGTCTTAGGATTAGATAGCCTTCTCTCATCAATATTTCAACCAAACCGATGAGGTACATGTTTTGAGAGATTCAGTAAAAGATGAAAATCATTTGGTCAATTGATTTTCTTTATGTTTATAGAATTCATAAAAATCTCTGAAAAATTATTTAACTTAGTTATATTCTGTTCATCTTTTTCAATAAAGTAAAACAATATCAGTTGATTTTTGCACTAAATATATTTATTGTAAACTTTAACTTGCAGTCCGGAGCGTACACGGACGACGTCGTGCGCGTCTTCTGTGTCAGTGGTGAGCGAGCCATGTGAACCAGACCTTATCTCACCTCATGCTGTCGACCCATTTAGTGAGTAATAACCATTATTTATGGAAAATTTTCTTCAATGAAACTTTAGTCAGTCTTCATTACAATCAGAAACTATAGAAAAGTAATGAAGATTTGTTTATAGTGATAACTCATCTTACTAATATTATAAATGCGAAAGTGTACATGGATGGATGGATGTTTGATAGATCTCGCTGAAATTTGGCATGTATGTGGAACATTATCTGGAAGAGCACATAGAATCATATCTTTCAGGACAGTCGCAGGAAAATGCTATGAACCATTTTCTAGTGCAAGTTTCGAATTTATGTCTGTTTTTAACTATCCATGCGTTTCTCAGACCAAGAGGTATGTTTAATACAATATTTTTACATATCTGTTTAGTCAAAGATAATGATGGGGATCACAATATGTTTTATACTGATATTTTGGTCTTAGAAACCCACGGTAAATATATTATTATTTCTCCACAGAACAAATAGACGCGACAGCTGTGAATGCGTCATACTCCTCGTCAATAATGGAGTGTGCCAGCGCGAGTGATAGTGACTGTGACAGTGTCACACTGGGCCCCGACGGTGACTGTCGGGCTGTGCACGAGGACAATCTCTCTGATGCTGAGGAGGCGCCATGCGAATCACAGCCGCTATGGTAATGTCATTTTGTGTTATGTGACATAGGAGTGTGTTAAAAGTGGAGAGACAAATATTATAAAAATACTAGCCTTCGCCCTCAACTTCGTTCACTCGAAAATAAAAAATTACCTAATAAGTAGGTATGTGTTCTTCCAGATTATGTCTAAATCTATGCCAAATAGCAGCGAGATCCTTTTAGTTGTTCTGGAGATAACTTCTAACAAACATACAAACATTCATAATATTAGTAAGATAATAAATATTTATAACAATGTAAAGACAATTTTAAGTCAACCAACCCGCACTTGGCCAGCGTGGTTGACTATGACCTAATCACTCTTAACTTAGGGTAGGCTCCGAGCCCCTCGGTGGGGACATATAGTGAGCTGATGGTGATGATAAAAGCCAATTTAAATAAATATAAATTTGATTTCTCTGAGGTAAAATCTTATAAATTATCTGAATATTCCAGGCGTGCAGGCGTGTACACAGCTGAGGAAGCTGTAAGTGAGACAAAGACTGTGCTCAAGTCATTACAATCTGCGTACATCAGACAGATGGGCAGGTTACGGATATTGTTGCAGTCCGCTAGATATCAGTACATAAAATCATTGAAAGCTGAACGAGAACAATACTGTAAGTAAATTTAATACGTTCAATTAAAATTTTTACTATATTTAAGTTTAATTTTTTACTGTGAAACATGTTTCAGGCAGTATAAACGCGCAAGCACGCGGTGGGCCCCTTACGGTGCGCGAGCGGAGACAGTTACGCAAGCTCAAGGCTTACGCTGGTTATCACAAGAAACATGGTGTTGATGCTGTACTGGCTAGGAAGCTGCATAGGAAACGTGCCAAGGTATGTGGCACTATGATAGCAATAAAAAATAACCAACAAAAAATCTGATTTATTCTAACACTTTGGCGAATAACACGAATCCAGCAGCAACAACGAGTTTATGGATAGAAAAGGACACTTTTCTAACAAAAACCATAGACTTAATTAATTAATTTATCAATTTATTTTTTGTATCTGAACGAATGAACGATTTACTTTTAAAACTAAACTTTTGCATTCTTTATCTCCAAATATTACTCATTGTAGCATACATATATTGAGAAAGTTTGATGTGTCAGGTGAACGACAGCAACCCGCACCGCTTCGTGCCGACGCCGAGCCGCTGCACGTTCGCAGAGGGCGGCGTGCGCTGTGCAGCCGGCGCACTGCCCGCCGCCAAACACTGTATCAAACATATACTGCATGACCGGCATCAGGTACGTGTCTAAAATATATCGCCAAATAGACAAAATGCCATCTTCGCAAACAGATAAAATGACAAACAGAGTGCGTCTGAGCTAGTATTGAGTAATTAAATACTAGATGCTCGTCCATTCGTCGAAATTTTACCACAATTCATGATTAAAGATTTTTATTGTGACAAAATATAGCAATTTCCTTATATATTAACATTCCTTATATATTTTAAGAGATATGTATTATCCATATTAACTCAGGTTGTCTCCCTTAAGAATATTGAACTATAACAATGTGTCAGGTGTTGTTCGCTGCGTGTGGAGACGAGCGTGGATGTGAGCCTTGCCGCGAGCCAGTCGCGCGACTGCCGCTGCCGCACGTCTGCCGCTACCACGTCGACCCCCCGCAATACCAAGTGTTCACTCTCAAGGTAACTATACTAATGTCATCACTATCAAAAGTATGATATATATTAAAGTATAATATTTTAGCTGCAGTAGTTGCTTGAATGGGGCATTGGTCAAAGTTGTCTTATGACCACAAATATTATTTGCGTGTTTCAATTGAATCTCGTATGCAAATGCACTAAAATAAAAAGAAAGGATTGACTAGTATCATATTTATTCTTTTTATATTTCTCCTTCTCTTGTAATTATTATATGGTGGTCTTATTCCCCCTTTTTTATTATATATCTTGAGTTTTTTATGTATGTTGTAATTTCAGAAAGATGAATCTGACAGTGACACGGAGTCTCAGTTCAGTTCGTCAGGTTCACACACGGACCTTGGAGAGCAGTCGTTTGAAGAGAAGTGCGAGGTTGCGCCTGACGCGCCAACTGACACCCTGCAATATGAATGACAAATGGACTTTGATCACATGCTGTATGATGATCTATGGACTTGAAGCATAGTGCTATGGCAGGTTTCCATTGCAGTTAGAAACAGATATTGTTATAAATTGTGCACAGTGTTTTGTGGAAACTCACATTTAGTGATATGTTAAAGTGCAGTGTTCTTGACAATAGAAATAAGTGTCTGTGAGTGACGTGATATTTTTTTTGAAGTATTCACTCTTAGTATAGAAGAACTGTAAGTACAAGTTTATATTATTGTTGGTTTGATGACAATCATTACGGGTCCTTTTCAATTTATCTTTATTATCTCCGGAATGAATGCTGATATTTCTTTTGATGAATAAGAATTATATGTGAAAATGTCTTGGTGTCTTCTAAACAAAGAATTATATGCATTCAATGTATTATAGAAAGATCCCATCAGATAAAGGTTGAAAAATCTCATTATAAGTCATATGATGTAAAAATCTTAATGTTAGAATATTGTAGGCTGCATTAATTGTACATGTAATTTCAAAAAAGGTTTTAGGTTACAATGTAAAAATTAATTGAATTAATCAAAAATAATTCTAAAAATGAGAGTATTCATTATTCTAAATTAATATTGATATGTGAAGCTACAGTAATTTGCATAGAACTGAAAATTGGGAGGAATCTTTGGTACACCATTATATTTTCTCATTGGGTAAAAGCCTTCTCCATTCTTTTCTACCTTTCTCTTTCCTTGGCCAAATGCATCCAACTTGTTCCACCAATTATTATATCAACGCATATTTTTTTTTGTCACTTTAGTTTTCATTTTGGACCCAGCCATTTAGTGGTTTGGTAGATCTATCTCCCATCCTTATATCTGGACAAGTATTCTGCACAGTTCTACTTCTGTTTCAGACTAAAATAAAGGTTTAATTTAGTTTTCTTGTGGATAGATGTTCCTCGTTTTGTGACTTTTTTGTTCCATTGTATGTTGACATGTTAATTTATCATTTTCTTGGTTCTTAAGTGAATGTTGTCAGTGATTCATTGGTCTAGTAGTTTTGGCGGTCAGTAACACATAAGATGTAGTTTCAACATCACCCATGCATGCTCTAACATAGGCTAATGCTGTCCATAATACAGCTATGAATGTCAAATATATATAGAGATAAACTTATGTAACAGGGTAATAACTCATTTCAAGTAGAGGAATGAAGGGGACTATTCAGAGTTTACTACCAATTTTCAGCTCTATGAATTATTGTAGCTTTAGTGTTTAATTTGATTGGATTGATAAAGGATGTTAAATATCAATAACTGATGTAAATATGTACACAAATAAACAATTCCACCAGTAATGTTTAATTTTATTTCATTTGTTTTTTACCCCTTTAACAGGTGGCACCTGGAATACACTTTTAGTTATAAGAAGAAATCAAACGACAAAGTGAAACAGAATCTTCGCTTTATTCAGCAATTTCCGGTTGAAAAAAAATAATCAACAAAACTACACTGAAATTCTGAACGTGACTATTTTTACAAACAATTTACAGCAATTTGTTTTAATTAATTAGTGCGGGTGTTTTGAATACCTCCCCGGCTTGTGGTCGAGCGAGGCGGCCACGCGGCGCGCACGACCTTACTTTCCACTAACTAAAACATTTAAAGTAATATTTACAAGGAGGAAACAAATTACAACATATGAATGCTCTTGCATTGGCAGCCCGAGAGGAAGCTGAGGAAAAAAATCGCAATTCTTTAAGAAAAGCATTCAAAATACCCGCGACAGCCTAAACTAGAAATCAGAAACTTATGAGGTACACATCTTCCTATCCACTTTACTAAGCGTATGGTTACCGGCCCCAAAAATGAGGCCATTTTTTTTTACATTTTTTCCCAAATTTGCAGCCTTTTGTACAGTATATGATACTTACTAATTATATATGTATAGACATAGTTAAAACAGTTACATTTTTTTTTGGTCGCGAGTTATTTTTCTTATCAGACCATTGGGATTAGGATCTGATATGAAAAATTCTCACTGAATTTTTTAAACATTGAAACAACAGGACTTGCGTAAACACGATTCGATATAAGTTTCGCATAGCTATATTTAAACCCAATTCTTAGTTACATTAAGTTAGACAATGACGATATTTATTATTATATTTTTTTCTTTTTTTTTCTGGAAACATTCTAACAAGAATCAAATTGAACAGGTATTTTTTTTAATTTGAACTCCGAAAAAGAAACTACACTTTAACAATTTAGTAATTTAACAAACATTCAATGACTTTATAGGGAAAAAACGTTTTAATCTACCTACTTGTGTCACCTACACGTATCCTAAAATTTTTATGGACACGTTTCTAAAATTCTAAAAATACACCACCAATTGATATTTTTGGTAACCGTCCCGTAAATCGGTTATTTCACTTTTTTTTACATTTAATCATTAGAGTTATCGGGATCAAAATTTACAATAACATGAATTGAGTTCAACTGAATCTTTTGAGCCAATGTATGTTGTGAAATTGTTAACAGCAATAAAAAGTAAACTTGATACAAAAATTTTCCAAAAATACACAAACATTTAATCTGTTTTCTCACTTCTGTGTCATTTGTCAACAAGAATTAATTAACCATATATTTCTTTGTTGCCAAAAAATCCGTATCCGATTAGTCTTAATATGTTAATTGTAGTTTCTTCGTCAGTATTTAGAGAGAGAGAAAATGCAAACATCTCGATTAAACTTACTACGCCTTCTATTGAAAGCTTATTAAACGTTTAGTCACAATACACGAAGCTCCGCCGATACGATAATATTAACGTTAATACGAAATCTAATGTTCCGATAATTTATTCCTTAAATAAACGTCAATTTGGTGACGAGAACTATTCGTCCGTATATATACATCGTAACACGCAGTCTGTCAATACTTGAAGCCAAAAACACTAATAGTGCAATATGGCTTTCGTCTAGAAATGTAACAATAAATATTACTGAATTACTAATGCAATGAAATTTCATAGAAAACTGATTGGAAATTATTATAATAATGGCCCAACAGGTTTGGACATAGAATAATAAATATTGATTGCATTTGTTAAAATTAAAATAATAAAAACACTGAAGCAAATACTATGAGATTAACTTAATCTAATTCCCTTGTTATAAACTGACGAATGAAAAAAAATTAACGTCCAACTTTTTGTGACAGTTTAATTCACACGGGGTCTAAAAATTAGCTTTCTATTTAGGAATATCGGAGACAGTGTTTAACGGAGACTCAACCTATTGGACCCTAGTTGTTGAAAAACTAATAATTATGATTTAAATTTTGATTTAAAATACACATAATAATACGTTGAAAATCGATGTTGTATGTCTGAATAGTAAATATTTATAAATTTGCCCTTTCGCACTTACGTTATTACATATGAAAGCGTGCGAACAGAATATATGACAATAATACGACGCATAGTTTATACATATCAATAGAGGAACGAGAAAAGTCAAATAATTATATTTTGAATTCACAGCAATTTAAAAGACTACGTTTAATTTTGATCTTGTTATTAAGCCTATCTCAATATTAAAATTCGAATAACATACGTTATGAGGCAGAAATTTTATGTTTGAGTAAGATTTTGCAATGAATTTTAAATTAAAAGAAACGAAAACTTAACTTACAAGTTTAGTAAAAGAAGAAAAATGAACACTTTAGAAAACGAATACCATAACAGAGATAGCAAAATTTTACTTTTCAACTTCTCATTATTCTTAAGAAATGTAAAGACCAGCCATCAAATAATTCTGACATTTTAATATTATACTTCATTGTATTTTTGTAGTACATAAATTACCAGATTTTAAAGTTAAAAAAAGTAATTTTAAATATTGTCTATGACCAGCTGTCGCTTTGCTATTTCTCCCAATTAAAGTTGGTTCGTTCACCATTTTATCATATAAAAAAAATCTAAATGTGCAACTTTCCTCAATCCTTTATCAACATATATACACTAAGAGTCAGAGTTACATCGGTGCGCACAAGTAAACATTGACTACAACACCTCTCACTGGTCCGGCCAGCTAATTAAGTAAACAATTAATATACAACTATATAATACACGCGATGCATCTATATTACATTATATTTTACACCCATTTAAATATACACTCCCCACCCTTTTTTTTATTTGTTAAAAATATACAAGAATGTTCGCTAAAGGAAACTTAAGCAAATAATGCCAAATCAATTTACTACCAAAAACATATATTAACTGCACTCAGACTGCTTAAGTAAACATAAAACGTCTCTGAGTGAAACTGTAAGATCCTATTTCTACGGAGCGGCTAACACGTGGCCGTATCAACACAAGGTTACAGCCGCGCGACAAACCGCTAAGTGGAAAAAGGCATTAATATGTTACATTTGAGGAGATTTAAAATGAAAAAGACTTTAATGTGGGTTTCTGACACCATAATACTCGTTTAAAATATTATTGTTATCTCGATAACGATTTATTTATACAGATATTTTGGCTTCAGAAACCCACTTTAAGTCGGGCAGTCGCTTAGTTTCCGTATGTATTAACTATGTCACAGCCACTTAAATTTACTTTTGACGAAGCATGTTTTATAATAAAAAAAACCGTACACTACAGTTAGTTTACACTGACGAAACATTCACATAATAAAACACGTGAATTTATATCAAAAATCAAATATTTAATAGTACTTCTGAAACTGTATATTAGTTGAAATTTGACAAAAAAAAATCGAAAATGTTTATACGTGAATGTTTTGTCAGTGTGAACTTAGGTTAAACAAATACTTAAAAGATATAATAAAAAAAGTAGTTTTCGCTTTGTTATAACAAAGAACTCAAATCTAATACAGAAAGTCGATTTTATATAAAGTATGTGTAGCTTATTTTTTTTTAAACCGAGTAAAATTATAAATTTAATGACAAGTAAATTGTAATTTGATATTAATTTTAACATATTTTCATTATTTTATAATAATTAGCTACAGATTATAATACAAATTGAGAAAAAAAAATTACTTTTACACTTTATATACTGTGTTAAATCTGTAGCGGGTTATGTAACTTTTTATATAATTAAATGGTTATGTTATATATCTGCTGTTTAAAAATGCTGTTTGTAGGAGTACATAGTTTTTTTTTACAAATCGACTATTTAAAATTAACATCCAAAAGGGCGATAAATCCAAGGCCGTTGAATTTAGTTTGAATACGTCATTTATATATAATACATAAGAAATATATAAAAAGTTTGCTATCGAGTAAACAGTTTTGTTAACAGACTGCGTCAATTACAAACATCGGTCATTTTTATTTAAATTTATATATATTTTTATTTAATAAAAATTGGATATTTTTTATGATTGTAATAAAAAACTCGTTTGTATTTTTTAATTGGCTGCAATATTTGAAATTTTTTTGTCAATATTTTCTGTTTATTAAATTAAGTAATAATTTATATGTTTGTAAAAACAGATAATTCTTGTGTCTTTAACAAATCTGTCTACGTAACATCAATAACAAACAAAGGAATGATCATTTCAACTTGCGTTCCTCAACAAATTCGATGTAAGAATTTCTAATAATTAATAAATACCTAGATAATTAAGTAATGACTTAAAATTATTCCTTGTTTTTTTTACTTAATGACGTCGCTATAAACATATTATACACGGATACCAGGAGAGCCAAAGCAATGGAATCATATTTGGTATTAGGTAATGATTATATCGGGCATAATACATTTTACATTTTAAAAAACACGCGAGTTTACATCTCACGTGCGGCCCTATCACTTAAACAACTGTACAAATTCATTAAAAAAAATTAAAACGAAAAAAAAAAAACATAACTGTCCATTAGTTAACTTCACGTGCACCACCTCTCCCCGCCCCGCGCCCCGCTCACCCCCCCGCAACATAAAATTAACTAAGCGCGGTACATTAACTAATTAAATGTAGGGCATTACTTCTTTAATATCACACGTTTCTTAAAAAAACATAATATGTACAAAACGTAATGGAGGCCCCGCAGGAGACCGGGATGAGTCGATATTAGAAATTTAATAAAACTTAAAGATTTGCAATGTGTCAGAAAAGCAATGTAGAGGCAAGCAATGTATAAAAGAATCGATGCTTCGTCAAAGAAATAAGAAGCGCTCGGTCATTGATAGTACGTAGTTGCAAACAGTGCGCTATTTCTGCATGATCTATGTATGGTAAAACTCCATGACGCTAGACCTCCATCAGCGCGGGTCGTGTTGCAGCGGTGGGCGCGGCGTGGGCGTGGGCGTGGGCGAGTTCGGGGGCGGCGGGGTGCGTCCGTCCGGGGCGGGGCCGGAGCTGTGCTAGAAAGCGAGTATGGGCTCCGGGCGATGTGGGCGCGGCGGGCCCTGGGTGTCGGTAGTGTCGGTGGGCTCGGGCGGCTGGTGTCCGCGCTCGGCCGGCTGTCACGTGACCTCCATGGGCAGCGTGTCGCCGGCGCGCCGCCGCACCGCGCCGTTGGTCGCCGCGTCCTCGCCCTCGCCGCCGCCCTCTAGCGGCGCATCGCCGGACAGCGCGCCCGGCAGCGACCCGCTCAGCCCGCTCGACAGACTCGACGACGACGCCGCCGGCGCGGTCGTCGCTTCCACGATCTCGCTGGAGATGAAAGATATAACCCATTTTAATTATGTAAACTTCAGTATAATATGTTGAAATGATGTGTAGATCGTGTTTTCAAAACTCAAGTCGAAACACAAGATGCAAGGAAAGAACGAAACAATACTCACGCAACGGGTGGTGGGCGCGGTTGAGTGATTAGCCTCGCCTGACGCGCCTTGAGCTGCGCCGTGGAGAACGCGATGGCCTGCACGTTGCCCGCGAGACCGCCGGGGCCGGAGATGGCGATCTTCTGCCCGCCCTTGGGCAGCTGCACGTTCTTGTGCAGCAGGTTGGCGACCACGGAGCTGGGTATGGAGGTGTGCGCGGGCGCGGCGATGGTGATGGACGTGGCGGGCTCGGCGGGGCGGGCGAGCGGCGCGGCCACTTGCACGGTGCGGTTCTTGAGCTGTATCTGGTGACGCACGCTGGGCGCGCGCACGGGCAGCGCGGCGCGCACGATCTGCCGCCCGTCGAGGCTGACGCTGACACGGTGCGGTCGCGTCGCCGTAGTCATATTGCCCTTGAGCGCGCCGTCGAACACCACCTGCCGCTTCCGCGCCTCGTTGATGTCGAGCCGGGCTACGGTGGCCTTGCCGGGCGGCGGCTGGCGCACCACGTTCACCAGGTGCGGCCCCTTGCCCAGTTGGCCGCTTTTAATCTCGAAATATTGCGTTACGGAGCCGGGGGCGGCCTTGAGGATCGGCTTCCCGTCTCCGAGGGCGGCGAGGGAGACGACGGTGGGCAGCTGGGCGAGGGAGCGGTTCTGCAGCAGCTGCGCGCGCTGCGTGTGCGTAAGCGGGTGCGCGTGCAGCACCTTTAGCTTACTGGAGGGCACGTGGTGCACGTGGGGCGCCACCACGACGGCCGGAGGCGGATGCAGCTGCAGCGGTTTGTGAGCGAGTGCGGCGGGCGCCAGCTGCACCAGCGGTGCGCCCACCCGCCGCGTCGCCGTCGCGCTCGACACGGTGCCTACACTACCAACGCTCCCGACTGTTGCCATATTCACCACGTTGCTCGTCGTGCCCACGTTGCCCACGCTGGCTGCCACTGCAGAAATGATGAATAAGAGTTTATTTTTGGTTTTTGATTATATCTATATAATCAGAGGGACACAATGAGTTGGTGAATGTTGTGCGTGGTGCAGGACAAGGCAGGTATGTGCAGGAGGCGTGCGTACCGACGTCCCGCTGCGAGACGGGCAGCGCGAGCGCGGTGAAGGGTCCGTTTTGTATGAGGCCCACGACGGCGCCGCCGCCCGCGCCACTCACTGCCGCCGCCTGACTCGCCAAGCGCACCTTTAAAATTTATAATACATGTTATTTGTCATCTTATATCCTTTATTTATTTTGCCAAAGCAAGTAATTAATCAAGTGTAAATGATCAAATGAAAGTAAAATTACCTTCAAACTATCAGAGACTGCGACTGTGACTATCTGGGGTTGGTTGGAGTCCTGCGAGGTGACAACGACGTCCGCACTGCGCCGGTGCGCCGCCGAGGTGATTATATGCTTCTTAAGCGGCGAGTGCTTTGTCTGCACCGTCTTCAGCTGCACGCCGGGCGCCAGCTGGATTTCCTCTATCGTGTCCTCCTTCTTCTTCCTTTCGACCTTGATGTGAGGCACCTCGTTGACCTCCTCGACGATGATCTTGGAGTTGGGCACCGGCTGGGCGGGCGCCTTGACCTCTTTGGGCGTTTCAATAGGCGGCGGGGTGCGCGGCGCGGGAGGGTCCGGCTTGTCCGCGTATATCGGCTCCTTACCGGCCGATATGTGTACGACGCTCGAGCCGAACCTTTCCTCTGCTCGCTTCCGCCTCGGGCCAGAGCCGGCACGCCCATCCGAGCTCTGGCCTTGCAATAAAAAAGGATCTTTGTCCACGTCTTTAACCAGTTCTTCGAGTAGATCGTCGCTGATTGTAATCTTCTTGTCCTCCTTTGACAGCTCGACGTCCTCTATGGCTTTGAGGTCCGTTTCCGATAGAATGGAAATATCTCCGAGTAGGTTCTCTCCCTCTAGGCCGTTTCCGGTGCGGTCCGCGTCCGGCTTCAACGGCTCCGTATACAGGTCTCCAAGTGTAAATTCTGATGTTATAAATGGATCCACCACTCCCGAGGGAGGTTCCTCCGCTAGCCTCAATTCAACAGAAAATGGAGTATCCGTCGTGAGGGGAAATTGATCATCAGGCATTTGGGAATCGTGCTGTGGCGAAGCTGGTGGTGTTTTCGGTCGAAAATGTAACCTAAAATATACAAACGCTTGACTTAGATGAAATATTAAAAGGGTATTTACATTTATAATTTTATTATGTAAAGGAGGGCGATAGTAAAAGATGATTGTTTACCATTTCTTATTAACTTCATTGATGAATTGTTCGAACTCCTTCTCCACAGGCTGAAGGCTCTCGTCCGAGTCGTAGCTGTCGTGGCTGCAGCCGCTCCAGGAGCGCTTGCGCATCACACGCTGCAGGTTCTCTCTCACCACACTCTCTATAGTTCTCGCACTAACACTAATATCACTTGTAACATCTTGAGGTAACGTAGCGTCCGGTAACGGTTCGTCCACATCCATTGGCTCCTGTTTCACTTTGTCCGGCTTGAAATCATCGTCCGGCTTGACATCGGCGTCCGGTTTGACGTCAGCGTCCGGCTTGAGGACGGCGGTCCAGAGGTCGGGGTTGCGCGCGAGATGCCGTCGGAAGGCGTGGCGCCAGGGGTACTTGCCGCCGGTGTGGTAATCCCGCGTCATCTCCTTCGGGGTGCGATGCGCTTTTGTTTCCAATTCCACCTGCAAAGTGAAATCACAGTGAACTTAGATATCTTTAACGAAAACTCTTCTGTGCAGAAAGTATTGAACAAGTTGCCGATGTCATTCTTTAGCCTTCTAGCCAGATTTCTCAAGCGGGGTTGTGATCAACCGCTAGTTTGTTAATAAAAAAACGTGTGTACCTCTTCGTCTCTAAGCTTGCGGTGTTCGCTGGAGCTGGGGAAGGCGAAGGGCAGCGCTGGCCAGAGGTCGTCGAGCGGTGTGGCGATGCGGTCGAGCAGCACACGTCCGCCGCGGCCGAGCCGCCGCCGCGCGAACCCCACACACCGCGTGTACGGTTGTGTTATAGATGTCAGCGTGAACCTGCAAATTATCACATCAGTCTCTACTATCCTAACCATTTGGTATCCTGGTATTTGTCATTTTCTTCATATGTAACAGAGAAATTTGATTAATTAACCGTATTAATTATTTACCTATGCCTTTCATCCAGTTCGTGTTCAAAAAGACCTTCCTTTGATGGACTGTCAGGATCCACAGGGTCACCACAAAGAGTTGAAGTCGGCTGAAAATTAAAAAAAAAATACCTATCAGTATATTTTCATAAATGCATATGCATATTAATATTATAAATGCGAATGTTTAAATGGATGGATGGATGTTTGTGTGGAGGTATCTCCGGAACGGCTCAACGGATCATGATTGTCTGAAATAAAACGTATAGGCTACTGATTAAGTTTTTTTTTAATTCCACGCGGACGGAGTCTTTGGCCATAGCTAGTATAAATGCGAATGTTTGGATGGATGGATAATTATTAGAAGGTATCTCCAGAACGGCTGCATGGATCTGAAAACATACTCACAGACAACTCATAGACTTCGTACTTATTTATTTTTATAAATTCTAACCATTTCATAGTAACAGCCGGGTTTGCGTCGAAAGGCGAAGGGCCCATCATCAAAGGTTTCGGCGCGAGGACTGGCCCCGCTGGGCGCGGACACGCTCGCCTCCTCGTCTGATGATGTACACACACCAGAATCTGAAACATAAAACAATGTATATCTCTTAAACAACTACATTTAATATGCATTTGGATATTATACGGCTCGAAGGACCAAAAAATTACAACCAAACAAGGAACCGAAGGACCAAAAAAACAATTTTTTGACGTTGATAAAATTTATCTTGCGGTACTTTATCGCTGGAACTATTGCTTGTTAAATTTGGCAGCACACAAATAATTATTCCTTCTGAAAATACTACGACTTCTCTTTATAATGAAAAGGTACTGTGGAAATTTATTAATAATATGGTAATTTAAAGGAATCTTTACAAACTCTGAGGCATAATGAGAAAAGTTAACAAAACTTGAAGTGTGGAAATACTACTTAAGTTGCGAATCGAAATAACTTATATTTAAACTGTTTTAAAGTGTGAGAATAAAATAATATATAAAATGAAACACGCTTATAAAAGATATGGAATGCGGATTAGGACCGGTGAGCGCACTAAATAAGGATAGATTGCATTGGAAATAGAAAATATACTATGTATATATAAAAAAGTGGTTGTCTGTGTGTGCACTCACCTCGCAGCCCCTGCGCGGAGCCGGCGGCGTGGTGCCTGTGTTTCCGTCTCTTGTATGGACGCTTCTCTCGCTGTAAGGCAACCAATTACGAGAATAATACCACGCACTTTGACAACCATTCTGGTAAAACTATTGCCTTTTGTACAAAAAAAGGCTTATGAAACTTTACAACTGAGGATTTCGTATAGTTTAAGATTTTTGAAGCGTCAATTCAAGTATTTTCTAAAGTTCAAAGTTATAAATACCAACACAAAGTTATGATATAATACGTCAAACTTCTACTTCAAAGTTGTGGAATATTTCTCCTATGGTTGAAATTGAGCAGAAACTTTCCACTAACATTGAGTTGATGTCTTTTGATACCATTTTATCAATTTAATTAGTTTTTCATCGAATTTATTATTAATTGATATCTCCTGGTTCTTCTTAGTAATGTAATGTGATGTGATAAAATGTATATTTGTGTGCGTCCTCACCTGCCTGGGCTGGTCGACGGGTGTGGGCGGGGCGCGCGGCGGGTAGTGCTGTACCGCGTACGCCTCCCGACGAAAGCTTAACGTCGATATCGGCACCGTGTTGTATTGCCTGTTTAAATAATAACAAATTAATTCATATTAGGCGATTCGATGCTCGTATGTCCTTCTAGAAAAAAAAAGAGATAGTACATTTGCCTATTGGGGTAGACAGATAGAGAAGGTTTTTTTCACCTTGCTTTTGTAATAACTTGAAATTAAGACTAGCAGGCGCAATCAGAGTCTTGTAATAGTCATTATTTGTGACCCAAAGTGTAGATTCAATATCTACACTAAGTGACTACTAACTAACCATTAAACAGCTATAAGTAGAGAGTAAAACATTTTAAGTAATATAATTACCAAATATTATAATAAGAAGATTCTTCGACTCGTAAGAAAATAATTAGGTTTACTAAAAATAAGATGCTTTCAGCTGAAATATTATATAACTATATCTGTGTTGAAGAAAATGTTTGAGAGTTATATTAGAGCGAGAGTAAAGTTGTGTAATATACTCAAAGTTGTGAAACAGTATGAGAGCACTTGAGCGCAAATAAAACAGCTTCTACGGAACAGACTGTTCCCGGATTCAAGTAAGAATCGTAGCGTAGTTATAAAATAACGCAATGACGTGTGTTCCAACTTTATAAAGGCTTCTAGTTATTTATTTTTCAACAAACTAATACTAACTTAAGCAAACCTTAACGTTTTCTCTGATAAATTTTTATTATTTTTTTTATTTGTTCATACCGACAATTATAAAAAACGTCCAGGTGGACTAAGGTACGAGGAAAACTGGTCGGGAAACGTTCACAAGAAAGAGAAATGTAAGGTTAGGATGCTCATCGAAACCCGTAAGATTTGAAAAGTGGTTTGCGAGAAAAAGTTCTTCTTTGCTTTAATATGATTGGGGATCATTGAAGATAGAACTATGCTTTGAGACTAGCAAATATTGACCATACCTTTAACATAACTCTATTGTCTATAAGTCAGGTACAATTTGTGGATGAACAGAGTTAAATGTCTTTTTGGAACCTTTTCGTGAGATCTGTATGTGTTGTCTTTACCTGGCGGGTTCCGGCAGCTGTGCGGTGAAGTCCCCAGCTGCGTACCGTCGCTCCGCCAGCAGTGCTGTGAGGCGCACCAGCTCGCGCTTGGCCCGCTCACGTCTCGATACCATCTCCAGCAGTGTGAGAGCGCGAGCTAACTCACGACGGAGCTTCAACATCTTCTCGTACGAACTCTCGTCGTTTTTCCTACAACAAGGCCATTTATTCATAACCTTACAAAACCCTGTACATCAGCAAGCAGAAGTGCGATAATTTAATCTATATAATAATAGTCTCTGTTTTATCAAAGAGAATGTTAAATGAAAGATTTTCTCAGCACATACTGCTATCTTGATGTATATTGCTATTTGGTTGTTCTTAGTTTCTCGAAACTTCCAAAGAGTAACAAACTATTGCGTACTAGAATTGGTTTTCGATTATACAATAGTTTGTACTTGTTTGTTTACTGATGGAACAATGAGAAAGATATAAAATCTGGGAGAGACCCAGTGGCCATAGTGTGTATGCTAACCTATTTTTTCTGGTCTGCATCTTCTCTGTTCTTCTTCTGAATGCTAAATAGGGATTGTTCGACGATTGCCCGGGCCGGTGCTCCGTCTTCACCGACAGGATCAGAGGATGTTGCTGCGAAATATTAATTATTATATACAACTAGAATAATCTCTACACTATTATAAAATGAATAAAATTTTAATTAACTCGTCATCATTCATCAAGTTTTAGTCAAGTGGAAACAGCTCCTTGATACAATCTTGATGGTCGTTTGACAGTTGACAATTCTGTACACTGAAATTTACAAGATCCGACAACATTTAGATTGAAGACGGCAAAATTGAAAAACTTTTTTGACAAGGGTATATCGGTGATTGGATTTTGACAGACGCCTTTTTACATAATATGCCGATCAGAAGCCTGACGAAAATAGCGATGATAATGCGACTTCTTGTATAACTAAAATATTTGTTTTGATGATGAGAAATTACACAATACTGCGCCTTCGAGTCCTAGATTTAAGAATTCTTCGTCTACTAACGAGATGCTACCTTTCAAAGCTAGATTATCGTACAAAGGATATCCTTTAAACATTTTTCGGTATTAGATTGACTAGCAAACGGCGGTTAGTATCGCAAATAGCGACTGTCATCTTACCCGCTTGTCTAAATACCCCTCCGTACTCTACGAAATACACCATCACGTAATAATTAGATGTTATTACTAGGAACTAGGCTTAGCCCGCCCAGTCTCTATCAAGTTATTACTAGCTAGTGTAGCGTGGTAACATTTTTGTACCATACTTTTCTCGCATGGCCCGTTTAGTCGCAGTTTATGGCGTTGGGCCAACTTACCCGGCCGCTCAACTAGCCCCCGCCTACCCTAGAGTGTGAACAATGTAGTGGCCCACCGTGTTGAGGCGCTTGTTGAGCCAGTAGTCGTAGACGGCGATGACGAGGTCGTCGTGCCGCTCCAGCAGCAGCTTGGCCTCGTTGAGCGTCACCACCGTCTGACCAGAGCTGCGCTCCAGCTTGTCCATCATTTGCTCGAACTTTAGTTCTGTACAACCAATGCCACATTCACCACATTGCACACAAATATTGCCGCCAAATTATTACCAATCTCATTTATTTTATAAACAAGATGAGAAGATATTATAAAGGTTTTTTTTTACTTATACGAACCAATTTATCTAAACAGGTATAGATTTTTGAGAACCCGTCCCACGTATTCAACACTGTCGTTACGCGTTTGAGACGGAATATTCAATTGAGCCATTACTTAAGTTAGTAATACTTACTTTGTTCTCAGAAAATTATTTTTGTTTTCACAAAATTTTGTAAGATAAGAAAATTTATAAGTTAATAAATAAGTAATTTTATCTAAAAATTCGCTCTTAAATTTTTTCCATATAAAAATTATGAGTACTTTAGATGGATTGTTTGTAAATTTTCTTAATGCCACGTCCCGTGACATACGTCGCATCTTAACGCCTGGACCGCCAGAGGATTGATAGAAACATCCTTTCGACCGAAACAGCTACAATCGCACGCAAATTAGCGAATACCCAATGGCTTTAATTGTGGAAGACGTAATTCCACCATACTTCTTTCTATTAGTTAACTATATAGTTGAGGCATACCTGTGAGCTCTGGATGTCTCTGCTGCTTCAGCCATCTCTCGTCCTCCGAATCGATGTCGTACTCCGGTGCCTCCTGCTCCTCCCACAGCACTGCAACATAGAAGAGAAACTACCATAAAACAAACGAATACTTTTTAATTTAAATAGGGACTTGGGAATAATCTACGCGCGTAACATATGAACGGATAAAATCTATTACATTTTATGTTGGATCAGATTATCAAAAAGGTTTTAGTGTGACCTAATTTCTTTCAGATATGATTACTAAATTCAAAATTCAATCAGGACATACATTGATACAAAACACATTTTATATTTGTTAAAGAGTAAAACGAGAATATTATTAAAACAAAGCCGCAGACCATGAAATAATTGGACCGACACGAAAAATGAGACAAAAAAATTCTCGTTTACCGAGCGCTTTAGTATGTTAACCCCATTCCGTATAAAAAGGCTTCGTTTACGGTAAAGCTTTTGAAAAAAAAAATCCATCGATAGCCTATGTATACGATATATTTTCAATATACAGTTTTATTAACAAAAAATATTCGTTCTACATAACTGTCCTATTTAACGTGGAGTTTCATTCACGTGACCTCAGCCGCTGTAAGAGCTCCTTGTGGCTTTTATCTCTTCATACTTTCATAAATTTAGGACAGGTATAATGAAATTATATTCTTCATAATGGTTGAAAATAAAGCAGTAAATTTTATTTAATTAGAAAAAAGGAAAGACATTTCAAAATATCCTAGAATTACTGGTGTATAAAAGTATTATTATCTCTGGTTAATGAAATATCAAAAACTTTAGTACTAAAGTACTAAACTAAGATTAAACTAAACTTAACTAAGTACTAAACTAAGATTAAACTAAACTTAACTAAGTACTAAACTAAAATTAACTAAGATTTAAAAATCTACTTTTAAATTAGATCAGCTAAGATTTATGACAACGACGATTAATTAAAGGTTAACGTAAAATTTTATAGCCCATAACACAAAACTTAACTTTTATATACACTGAGAGTCGACTGACGATGCTTCCAATGTTCTAACCTTGGCTAACAATAAATTACTACATAGGTTTATGTTGAAAGAAATGAATATATGTCGTGATGTATAAAATATAAAATAAACAAAAATAATTTGATTATGTTAGGTTAGCTCCCGTATAAAATTCCTATCTCACTAATATTATAAATACGAATATTTAGATGAAAGGATGTTTGTTCAAAGGTATCTGTAGAACGGATCTCGATGAAATTTGACATAGATTTAGAACACATAGCCTAAAAGAACACAAGCTACTAATTATGTTTCTTTTTAATTTCCAGCGATCGGTCGGGCGACAATAAGTAATAATTTTTTCATAAATTTTCCTCCAAATAGTCTTGGTAGTACCTAAAATTGGCAACTTTTTTGTGTGAAATTTGAGCATTAGTAAGGTGAAAATTTACCAACACAAAATTAATCGTTATAAATGTTATACTGTCATGATTTATCAAAGGATGATAAACTTTCTCGCCCCCTATTATAACGAAACACGATATACAGGGGTGTTTCTTACAAGGCGATAACAACCCTAGTCAACCTAGATACCTTTTCAAAACCCTTGTATATAAACATAAGTACACTATAGATTTTAACGAGTTGAACGAGATATAATTAATTACAACAACTTTGCAACATAAATAAACTGTACATTAAAGAAACACATGATATTAGCTCATGAAATTTAATATCATTTTTATTATATTCACCAATTGAAGTTTTCTTATTACTAGCAGCTATCGCAACTCCGTCCACGAGGAATAAAAAAAAACTTAGTTATCTATTTGTTCTTCCAGGCTATGTTCTACATCTGTGCTAAATTTCAGCGAGATCTAGCTGGATATACCTTCAAACAAACATCTACACATCCATCCAAACATTCGCATTTAAAATATTAGTAAGAAGTAAGATTTGTTTTACTCATTTATGTTTAAATGCGTAACTTGTAAAAATCCTGGCTTCTTTTAAAATCATTTTCGAAGTTATTTAAAATCCAATAGCTGACGTAAAATCGTAAACCAAAATGCTTTGCAGTTGGGTTTAGGTATATAAATCAGCCGGCCGACCATTGGGTGGTACAAGATTCAGCAACAGCAATAAATAACTGGGGGATGAACAGGGAAATCCTTTTGGGATAAGTACGCCTGATGTCAGAAATTGATAAGGTAAAAACCTAACGTCAATGGAAATTAATACATAAATGGTCAAATAGCAGATTTACAACAAAACTATATATTTTACAATTATGTGGAGTATTTAAAAGTTACTTAAATATGTTTAATGTAAATTCCATATTAATCTACACTAAAAGGCTTCCTAATTAACCACTTAATGTCTCAAAATTCGTAGAAAAACATTCGAAAGAATATAATATAAGAAAATAGTTTGAATTCATACGTTATAGTAATAAAACCATCTCGAGATATAATGCGTAGTTTCTGCATATGTTATGCAGATGTACGTTAATTTTATATCAACCAAAATAGGTGTTAGTTTTATATTAAAAAAAATGTTTACTTGGATGTATTTGAAAACATGAATAATACCAGTCCAAAAGCCGGTACGTAAGACAAACAAGACACTAATATTTCTCATGATTCTATACTTTGTAAACACTTCAAGAGTAAAAACTAAAGTTATTGAATAAAAACTTTGATCGTTTCTTATCTCACGAAATACGAAGATCAAAGTACAATTACCGTGATTAGAAGGATAGAGCTCTGCAAAATGTGAACACAATGACTAGACAAGTTTTTAGTAGAGAACTAACTGTCGACCGCGACTTCGTCATCGCAGAATTTCACAAAAAAAGAAAAAAGTTTTCCATCAGAGTGGATTTAGCCGTTCCGTAGATTACCAGAAACAAATACAAGAATTTTAACAATTGGTTTTTTGTTATCAGCAACGCAAATAACTCACGTGCACAACAACAATTTTAATATACAAATGATGATTCATACTATTTTTTACGCTATTATCTCAAGACAAGATGAGACATATGTTTTGAAGAGAAAATTCAATTAATTTCGGCAAATGCCCGTGCGAAACTTTCTACAATCTGCACTCATGAAAAAGTGAGGAGAAATGTCATGAAAGCTTACAGCTAAAAGTCGGAGAAACCGTAAAAAATTGTACGTTCAGAGCTAAAGATTTAAATCGAGATTAGAGCGGTACGAATCTGTAATGGTCGGCATCCAGTGATGTTGTGTAACATGTCTATTCGATGCGGCGGCCGATGTCGTTCTGGAAGGTCGTGCCGTCGCTCGTCGCGTAATCAAATAACCAGACGAGTACGTAGACGACGACGCGCCGCACACGATGTAATATAACTTTGAATACTATTTTAATCTACTAGCGCTTGCCCGTGACTTCGTCAGCAGAATTAAACAAAATAAGTAGCCTGTAAAAATCCCGCATTCATTAGCTACCTTGCCGTGAGCTCTCCGTCTAAATCAGCCGAGCCGTTTCGGAAATTAGTCTGAATAAACTCGACTTGCACACAAACAGATAGACAAACATTTATAAACAAGATTATAAAACAAAAAAAATATGTTCGTGAAATATTTTTCGATATTATATACACACTTCAATTTTATTTGTTAAGTGCCCACTTCCAGAAAGTTTATACAAAGATATATTTTTATCTCTGAAATGTTTAGAAAATCACGGCTAAAATCACCTGAATCATACTGATTCAAAGACGGGCCCTTATTTGACTCGTCTACCATTATTACTAAACCTTAAGACATTTAGACCTTAAGAAAATAACTTGCTTCAAAAGCTGTACCTTTCAATATAAATCGATTGTTTGCATTAGAGAGAGAACAATAAAAAATAAACCTCTTTCTATTAATTTCGAAAATCGGTCTACATCAGTAAAACCAAAGACCATATTTTTAAAACATAAATATTATAGATAACAGGAAATATATATAAATATCCCATATTTTCATAACGCATGGTAGCCGCAGTATCGTGCGGCCCCCACGTTAGCTAGTAAACGATATCGACACTACTACAATGACAACGAGAGTGCTTGCCACACATACATCTATATACTATAAATTGCAAGTTTACGTTAAAAACATTTGCACAATCTATTAGTCGGCTAAACGATGTGTTAAAGCTAGGTTTTATAGTTTTTTGTGATGGTGACTATAACAATTATTACTATAAAAATGTTAAGTCGTCTACACACGTTCAGTTTTAATTGAACATTCGGACCCATTCGTCATCCTTGTCTTTCATCTTTGCCAAAACAGAGACGACAATATGTTTTTTTGTCATGTTGAAATGACTGACTATTCAGTTTAAACTGTATGCTACAATAGAAAGTCGTCTTAATTAGCTACCCATTTACGATAAACGTACTGTAGGACAACTTTACTTGAATTAGAATCTTGTATTATCAAATTGAACTTGAAAAATGTAATAAAAAGGAATGATATAATTCCCTTGAAAGCGATGCCAATAAAGATTCTTAGGTTTCCGACCTACTTTGATTCCTTTCTTTTGCGCTCGCTCGAATAAACTTTTTGTTCTACTCTTAAATTTCCCACAAAAACTTTTGGGTTACGGAAATTAATAACGGTTGAATGGATTCTTTTAAAATACCACAATTGTTGAATATAAAGTACAAAAGATTTATTTCCACTTATAGTCAACAAAAAAGCACATAAATTGTAATTTATTTGATCCGTTAATTATCGACGGCACTCAATTAGGATAAGCCGATTTTGTTACCTTTAAAAACTATAGTGATACCATAGAAGTTGTAAGTCATGTTCAGTGTAGTGTGTAATAAATTTCAACCTTTTAATATTTCTAATAGTTTTTTCTTTACCTTCAAATAACTAACTGTAATGCTTTATCTTTGCTATTTTTATGATAAAACTATGTCGACCATGACTCCATCCGAGCTTAACTAAAAAAAAATCAATTTTTTTTTCGCCACTTCATATGATAAATCTAGTTGTCGTCTGCGACTACGTCCGAATCTAATAAAAAAAAAGAATTTTATTACTAGCCTATGTGTTCTTC